TTTAAGGCTAGGAGGACCGTTTCAGAACCAGGCAGTTTGGGACAGAGTTTGTTGGGTGATGTTGGGGACCCTCTTGGTCATCCATTCCAACCCAAGGTTGTCATGGCTGTATGCCATCCCCCTGCTGGAGGTGGATACCCTCACCAAGTATGGGCCCTCAATGGGGAGGTTTACCCCCAACCAACACCAAATCATACCATACATACCGGCATCCCACCAACACCCAATTCTGTGAGATACCCAAACTACACAACCTGTGTCTTCAGCAGCCTATCAGCCCATACCTATTAGGCCCACATCATCCAAGACACCAGTACACTCAGCCATCCCTCCAGTCGGCCAACCTACTGATCAACCGGAGAAGCCAAGAAGGAAGTCAGCCTTCATTCCCACCCCTGATGGCAATGGTGGTCTTCCAAGTCCCAGAGGTGGTGGAGAAGGTGGCAACACAGGCCTTCCAGGCAAGCCCTTTCGTGCCAAGCCGGATGCCACGGCCTACCCTACCCTCAAATCCAACAAGGACTTCGACCAAGTGGTATGAGTCCTTTATCACTATGGCTTGAGGTCAAGGGTTTTATAAGATCTTTGATTGCCGACTATGTCCCAAGCAGCACCGAGTCCATGGATGAACTCATACGAATGAATCATTGGTTCTACGCTGTTTTCCAGAAGACAGTGCAGACCACCAATGGAAAGGTAATCGTGAGGTCCCACTTCATGACTCTGACTGCTTTGCCATCCTCGTTGAGCTTGTCCAGGATGCTCACTTGTCTGTAGCAGGTTCTCTGGATCATGTGGAGACACTCACATGGCTGACTAGTGTGCAATACAGCCCAGAGGAGCAAGTTTCCGCAGTGGACTTCATTTTCAAGTTTGACACAGTCTACTGTACATGATTGCGCCAACGAGACTTCCAGTGATAGGCTCACCGATGGTATACAGAAGCTGTTCTTACAGCGGGCTTCACTGGTGTCCCCACCTTGAACGACATTTCTGCACGTGAACATGAGAGAATATGTCGCGAGGGACATCATGCATCGTTTACATACGACGGGTACAAGGAGGTGCTACTGAATGCCGCCACATTCTTTGACATCAACCGAAGAGACGATGATTCACGTCTAGCCAACATCGCTGACATTGGCAAGACAGGACATCAGGGTGATGGGGAGCAGTGTAATATCCCACGCCTTCCCGACAATGTCTGGTCTCAGCTATCCAGCAATGGACGGCAGCTTTGGTACAAGCTCTCCGTCGCTGACAAGAGAGTCTTGGTGAAAGCACACCATCGTCAAGCCCGGATGTCTGACCTGGTTGATCCAAAGAGCGAAGCTGACCCAGCAGTCGGGGACGCCTCAGATCCTCCAGATGGCAATACGGTGCCTGCAGCCTCCACGGGCAGGTGCAGGACCAAGGCGGATTTTTCGCCGGGGCAACTAGTGTTTGTGTCGCACTGGTTGAGCCCAAGGTACCCAGGCACCGGCCATGGCTGCGGGGTAGCATGCCACCCTCATAGGGGCTACCTTCCGCAGGACATGGCACCAGTATGACAAGCGTTTGTGCTAAACTTGTCATCTCCAGGATAGTATTCCAAGTACAATGTTTTGTGAAAACATGTTTTGGTGACTCCCACCCTCCCGCCCTGATGGCACTCCCTTCACTTTCGGGTGATGGGGAGAACTTACACTGTGTCACCCTCAGCAAAGGTGAAGCAGTCGGGCTAGAGCAACACCCACCCAAGCTGATGGCTGTGGGATGAGCCACTGCCATGTCATGTGACAGGACCTGCACCGGTCATACCCAAGCAAGCACCAAGTTAGTCGTGTCTCTGGACGGGATTCTTTTGAACCCATGTAAGGAGATGGTAAACTTGAGGAGACGTCTACGAGGTGTTGCCTTTAGCTGAGGCAATATCTGATGATAGGACAACCAGTCCCACCTCATAGGATGACAATCCGTCACCTAACTACCCAGTTGAGGGCTCCAGATGAACAGTTATGGCCCAGATTGTTCTCACTGGCCCTTATGGGGAGATAGACAGATACCTCCTAAGCCAATGAGCTGTGATGCAAGTATGGGGAGACCAGGAGAGATCCCAATTGACGGTCAAATGAACCAATGCCAATGCACCCTTTCTGTCCTGAACACGACTGGAGGTTCTATCACAAGCCCATTGTGATGCCCTTCCCAATGTATCAAGTGGTACTCAGCAAAGGACACCTTGATGTATTCAAGAGGGTAGGTAACCCCTGAGGTATGCGAACAAAGTCCACACTGGCAAGTCAGATGCTCCCAAGTTCATGGAAGGTATCGAGGGAAGCCCCATTATGTGCAAGCTTGTTGGACCCCATCCATGCTCCAATGGTGGGGAGCGATTAGATTATGCCATAGGAGCCATATTATGGGTCGGCGCACTGTGCTGAGCTCAGTCTGGTGGAAAGATCGCTGCTGAATCTGTACACTCTTCAGTACAATGAGCTGTGGCACCATCAGACAAGTAGTAGGAACAGCTGTAGAGGAATAGAGTTCCTCTGAAGGAAGGATGATGCACTCCTCAGCCATGACCTATCTAGAAGGATAGCCTGGTATATACCAGCCAAAAGAGATGCGTGGATCTGTATCCTGCATGGCTGGAGGATGGAGTTTCACGGAAAAATCAGAGTTTGTGTTCATATTATAGTGTTGGAAGAAGTAATGAAGAAGTAGTTGACCTGAGATACAGACCCAACAGCGACAAGTAGAACTCTGCAGCAGACAGGATCCTGTATGGCCAGTGCCAGGTGTATTGAGCAATTAGACTGATTCATCATTGCTTCCACGTGAGTGAATAGCATTGGCATGCCAGCTCTTGGCTGGCCTTATCCAAGCGCCAGTGGAAGGAGAGATCTCCACCAAACAGAGCATCCATCCCAGCTCGTGTGCACCTACCACTGAGTTCCTTTGGAATTCATAGTACATTTCGTTGTTCCGCTTTGAGTTTTAGGCAATCCGATTTCCTGTGCCCAATCTTTCCACAGTGGAAGCACTTTCCGCTAACTTCTTCTTTCCTTAAAATCCCTACTGCTCCCATTTTCCTGCTGAGATTTACCGTTTGACTTTCCTTGGTACTTTTGTCCGTTGCTTCTTCCGTTCGAGCCTTTCTTGTCTGGGCAGTCTTGTTGCTTTGTGTCCGATCTTCCCACAGTTCCTGCATCTGTCCTTGAACTGTTTTCCTCAATCATGAAAGCTGTTTCGCCATTGTGTCTGTCGATTGTTCCGTGTCTTAATCTCATCGTAGATTTCGCATATGTCATCCACCACACCCTTTACCGTTATTCCATGTCCTGTTTGCCTTGATCCTTCTCAGAAACATTCTTCTTCACTTCATGATTACACTCCGGTTCTCCTTCTTCTTTTCGGCATCTTTCGAAGAAGGTCCTTGATGTACTTTTCGTCCGATATCTTGAACCATCCTTCGCTAGCTTCTTGCGTTTCACGTCGAGTCCAATCATCGAACTTCTTTGGGTGTTTTCCTTGATGTCCATCTTTCATCGCGTAGTATTTCCGTTCGTCGAGCTGCTACCTCACCACTGTCTTCAGCATCGTAAAGGTCCAGCATGGACTCCACATGCCCTTGAATTTCCCAGCACATGGTCAGTCGTTTGGTTTGAGGCCAGTAGGTCGAAGGGACTTGCCCTTCGATGGCTCACATTGATCGAATCCACCAGTATTCCAGCAGCCTTGCTGTTCTCTTCTGCAGACCTTCGATCTTTTCTACTTCGTCGTCACCAAACTTGCCCGTACCTGTAGGGTTTTCCCAGTTGTCCGGTTTGATCTCCGTAGAGTCTTCATCAGTTCTACGTAACCCATACTTCGATAAATGGGCATCATCTTGACCTTGTAGAACCTGAACTTCTCATCTTTCCCATCGAAGATGGATACTTGCTCGACGATGATACCTCTACCTCCGTAGACATCTTTAATTACTTCTCAATTCTTCTCTTTTCTGTTTGACAACCTGGATCCAAGCTCACTCTTTCCTGATAGCTATCGTTTAAAACGTGTTGAAAAAGTGTTGAACTTAACGCACAATTTCTCTAATTTAATCAATATCCTTCCAGCTCTACTGTCTAGTAGACTGGCTACTGTTTCGTTTTCTCTTTCTCTCTCGTCAGATTGTGAGCTCTACAACTGAGCCTCGATATGCATACATATACCAGGATCTTTCGATCCTCTGCTTCTCGCAGTTTCATCTACAGATAGATCTCGTCGATCTATTCTTCCTGAAGTGCATGGTTGGCCCTGGAGGCTTTCCCACTTTACTAAACTATGGACCTTCATCCGTCCATTCATTTTGCTCCTCCCTCGCTCCTTGCATTCATCTCTTCGACCTAACTTCTCTAACCTTTGTAGTTGCATCATCTAGACGACCATTGTCCTCGTTCCTCGTACTCCTGGCCATCTGATGATGATCGGATAACCATCTGATTTGAGTCACACATCACCAATCACGAACCGTGATTGTGGATCCCGAGTCGTCTGTCCGTCATACGAAAATACCTTTCTGACACGTACCACACACCGGCCGGCCCTGTTCCGCCAACACCTCAGCAAATGGAAAACAGCGGCGAGTTTCCACATTAGAAACTGTTGACCGCTCCAGGAGGCTGCTTCCTCATCCTTCCTCAGAATGATGAATCACAACAATGATCATCGAGAGCTTGGAGAGAACCACGATGAGGAAGAAGATAGCTTTGAAGAGTGTAGCGAAACCAGCAGCGAGGAAGAGAGTGACAATAATGGCTCAAGCAGTGAACTCCATGAAGAGGTGATACCAGTTCAGGAGGACTACAGCCATAGTGGAACGGGAACAAGCAGCACCCTTGACAATGAGGCTGAAATTCACAGAAATGGTGAAGATGAGAATCTTGGAAATGAAGGGGATCATGAAACCAACAGTGATCATGAAGAATCAGATTACGATGATGAGGAAGTTGATCTCATTGGAAATTTGCTACAAGATCCCTTGTGTCACCAACACAGTACTATGCTCCTCACTCAGGAAGAGCAGAGATGGGCTTTGCAACTGAAGGAGAGCATGGTGAATCGACCTGATCTTGATGAAGAAAATGACATGTGGCTAGCACAATACGCCATTGTTACTGAAGGAGACATCTCAAATGCGCTCAAGAGAATAGCCAGAATACAGGCCTTTCAAAAGCAATATGGTGTTAACAATTCTGTGGAGCAGGGAGTTCAAATGCTTTCAAAGCTGTTTCAACTCATGCCAGGATCCATTCTTTGTCTGGATGTTGATCCTATGAAAAATGAGGGTCTGCATATAATGGACAATGGCAAACAAGATCATATGGCTGCTATGGCATCAGAAAGAAACTGGAGGATTTGTTTGGTGGGTCCTGGGCTGATGATGTTATGCTGACACCTGTAGTGCCAATCTTTGAACCTACAAAGAGGCTGACTTGTGACTGTCGTTTGCTGCGTATGATGGTACAATGAACATCCTGGTGCTCACAGGCCCAATTCGTTATTCTTTCTTGCCTTTACAGGTAGGATTCTACTACTATTTCCTTGTCTGCCAGCCAACTCTGGCAACCATCCGAAACGGCCAACACACCATGGCTGATTTTGTGGATTTCACATGGAATAATTTTAGGATGGAATTCTTCTACCAGTTCAATTTGGAATTTGGGGAGCTTTATCCACACAGGTTTTCAGGTTTTTTAGCCTTCAACACTGGAACTCTAGCAAACCTCATGTTTGCTCTAGTCAAACATGTTTATTCTAAGGCCCTCATGTCCAAGGTCCAATTGGGTTGCCATATTCCCCTTGGGGAGGAAGATGAAGTGCCCCGATCCTTGTCAGAGATTTACCTTCAGCCTTCTCTGGAGGAGGCAAACAAACGAATGCTGGTGAGAGCCAGAGAGCTCTTTACACTTCGGGCTAGGAATGAAGCAAATTTCCGACTGCAGCAATCTGCGTCAGAAACTACTTAAGTTTGTGTTCAGTGACAATCAAAGCTTCAGAACAAGAGATGATGGATGCCCATCTTACCAGGGAGGATCTGGCCTGTCCGAGATGGGATGGTGACACCAGTCAGACCAGTGATAATCTTTTGAGGCCTTCATTCCTGTTTGAAATCCATGAAACTTACGGGCATCGTGATCCTTCACGAAGCGACAGCAGGTGGAAGGCTACTGGATCCCTCGAAGAGAGGAGAAGAATGAGCACCGTGGACTGACACAGCCTGGCCTTGCTGGTATTCAACTGCGAACAAAATTTTGCAGTAAGATTGGGAAATCAGTTTCTTTAGCGGTACTGGTGTCTACCTCCACTCAGCAATGTACATGACAAATGTTGAAGCACCAACGTTTGTTTGCTTCAACCCAGCGACCGGTTCCTTCCAGTGCACATCGCCCCTTTGCATGGGCGTCTTCCATGAAATAGAAGGGACGCCTTTGTTGGCTGTGATTTCGGATTGGAGAGTACCGCCTTCCAATACAACAGTAAAGTAGAAGAATGGATAGGTCACTTCTACACTTCCACCAGGTTCCAATGTCATTTTGTACACTCGGCATTTGTCGCGTGTTTTGATGAGTTCGTGGTGTTCCGCTACAAGAGGGATAGCTGCGGTTATGGGTGGTTGCTTCAGGACTTCGGCATCGATACACAGCATGACTTGGTTGGATTTGTTGGTGATCTTGTGCACCAGTGGTTTGTCGCTCTTATGCGTCCCGAATCGAACTTCTCCAAATCCCAAACAGTCACAAGAAGGATCCGCGCCTTGAACATGATTCACCACATCCAATCCTCCCTCCACGAGGAAAAAGTACAAACTGTCTTCAGCATGTCGATGTGCCAACGTCGTATCATTGGGGGGAAAGGAGACCCTGAGCGCCCGCACAAATTCGTTGGCGAGAACGACTTTGTGCCTTGGTTCTTCTCCAACTTCCTTGATTTCTTCAAGTTTTCCATCTGCCACTTCCCAGTATTCTCCTACGGCTTCGCCGATAGTTTTCTCGTTTCTGGTTGATGGTTCCTCTCCTCCGACGGGAGCGCCTGTGATGCTCTCGTAAACTTTGACAACTTGTGAGTCGTCCTTCTTTCCCAGTCCCAAGGCTTGACCGCTGACAAACTGCTGCAATGCTGAACTGGCAATTGGAATGGGAGATTGTAGCGCTTTGGCTTCGGCGTGGACTATATCCAGATCCTTGACAAAAATGTCAAGCGCACTCTTGACCTCTGGATCACCAGCTTGCAGCATGCGCTCGCCACGATTTTGGAACATCCAACTAGCTCCAGCAGCGCCATTCACAATGTCATACATTTGATGGACATCTAACCCGGCCTTTGCAGCAAGCGACAAGGCCTCGGCAGCAGCACAAATATGGACACCTGCCAACAACTGATGTACCATTTTGACAGTCGATCCCATGCCTGCTCCTCCTTTGATACAATACACTTCCTTGCCGAGGGCATTAATTATATCCTTGGCTTTGGCGAAGCTCGCATCGTCTCCTGACGCCATCATTGTCAGAGCACCTTCTCTTGCCCGAGCAGGACCACCACTCATGGGACAATCCATCATAAAAATGCCTTTAGCTTGAAACTTCTCACAAGCCTTCCTCGCCCAGGTAGCTGTCACGGTGGACGTCAAAATGACACAGGAATCTTTGGCAAGCGAGTTGATTAAAGGATCATCTCCTCCAAAGCACACCGCCTCACATTGTTTTTCGTTCACCAAGGCAAGAATGCAAAAATCGGTGCCGGCAGTAATGCTCTCTTTTTGACTGTTAGGCATTTGAGAAGGTGCCTTATTGGCTGCTTTGGCGTCATTGTAAAAGTTCTCAAGGTGGGTCTTGTTCATATCAAAACCAGCAACCATCTTGGTTACAGGGGAGTCCACCAGTGCACGGGCCATGCCGCCACCCATGGCTGTGCAGTGCGATGATTATTAAGAGAAGCAAGTGTGGTGAGATGGATGGGATACCGGTACCCGTCAACCGTCAACAAAGAAAGCTGCGAGGAAGAAACTCCTCGCTTACCTCCTAGGCCAATCACCGTCACGTTCGCCATCTTCTTCTATCTGTGTGTAACTGAGCTACATGTATCAAGCAGACTTTGGTCTTTTCGATGATGAAGTCGACTGTTGGTGGATTGGGCTTGGGCCTTGGGCTGTCCCGGCCGATGTCGACGAGCGATCTGTCGAGGGAGCGAGCTTACTATTAGTACCTGGTACAGCACTGTATTCTCGCAAACGCGAGAGTGCTGCATCAATGACGTCACTTCAACGCGATCTTTGACGGAACCTGGATCCTTTGGGAACCTGGATCCTTTGGGAATGCATTTCTTCTTCTGTTCTTTGACTCCACTCCACTCGTCGTTATTATTGCTGGGCGCCTTGATATCTTTTTCATTGTACTCCCATTGTTGATAACTTGTCCTCGAGCAACAGAAGACTCGCCACTCTAGCAAGCTAGCCAGTCTCGAGCAGTTGTTGTGAAGAGGAAGATGTTTTCGAGGTGTTTGCTTCGGGGAAGGCGGGCTGTTGTACCCTTTTCGGCTCGTTTCTCCCAGCCGGCTGTGTCTCCCATGTGTCAACAGTTTCGATGCTTCTCTGTTGAACATGAGTCCAAAAAACAAACCAAACCAAAGGGGCCAGCCACTGAAAAAAACGATGATGGCAATGGTAGTATAGTCAAGAAGAGACGCGATGATCCCTCTGCAGATTTGCCCATCAGCTTTGCCGACATTAGCCGAGCTCATGTTGCTATTCGAGACGGAATTGTGAGGACCCAATGCGAAAAGAGCTTCTTTCTATCAGAGCTAGTTGGAGCTAATATCTATCTCAAGCCAGAGTTCCGCCAATTCACAGGTTCCTTCAAAGAACGAGGGGCTCGCAATGCCATCCTCCAGCTCAAGCGAAAGGCAGGCGGAGACAAGATCAAGGGCGTCATCGCGGCCTCCGCTGGGAATCATGCCTTGGCATTGGCTTATCATGGGCAAAGTCTCAATGTACCGGTGACGGTGGTCATGCCAACAGTGGCTCCATTATCGAAGGTTGACAAATGCCGAGTAAGTGCCATTCTACACTTTTATTATTGGGGTCATGAGCCATGAGGCCTGTCTTCGGCTGAATGTGTCGTCAAATGAAAAGCACAGCAGCTCATCCCGAAAACTCTCCTCTTTTTAAACTCTGCTTGGCACTGGAACAGAAATTCGGCGCTCGCATCATAATTGAGGGAGCCCATATTGGAGAATCCAAGACCTACGCTGAATCTGTTGTCCAAAACGAAGGTGCGAGAAATGGACGGTTGCTGTGTCGATCGATTTCACATTGTACTCAACGTCTCTTTTACTTGAAAGGGCTAACCTACATAAATGGCTATGATGATCCTGAAATTTGCGCTGGTGCTGGGTAAGTATCTGCATGGAGGATGATATGTGAACAGCATTTGATGTGTTCACGCTGATAGGCACCTTGTTCGCAACCCCTCCCCTTCTCGCAGAACCATCGGAATTGAAATGGTTGATGACGTGCCCGATGTAGATGCAGTTGTGGTGCCGGTAGGAGGTGCGGGGCTCATTGCTGGTATATCCTGTGCTGTGAAAACATTGAAACCCGAATGCAAAGTACGTTGGATCAAGATCGTATAGCAGCTAGGTTCCCCGTATCTCCTCATGTTTCCTTGTTGCTTTCTTACAAACACTTGTAGGTCATTGGAGTCGAGCCTGAGTATGCTGCCTCGTACACAGCAGCAATCAAGGCTGGCAAACCAGTGCCCGCGCAAGTCACACCAACACTTGCCGATGGTTTGGCCGTACCCGTCGTGGGGGCGCATGCCTTTGAGGTAGCAAAGCACTATGTGGATGAATGCGTTCTCACCAACGAAAAGCAAATCTCCCTGGCTGTGCTTCGGCTCATTGAAAACGAAAAGATGGTCGTTGAAGGCGGAGGTGCGGCAGGCTTGGCTGCCCTTCTTCCTGGCGGGGCTTTGGATCGGGCTGACCTAAAGGGTAAGAACATCATCGTGCCACTTTGTGGTGGAAACATCGACACAACCGTACTAGGAAGGGTGATCGATAGAGGTTTGTCCGCCGACAATCGACTTTGCAACTTCTATGTGACTGTTTCGGATAGACCCGGGGGCATTGCAAACTTCACTGCGTTGCTGAGCAAGGAAGGAGCCAGTATCAAGGATATTTACCATGAACGAGCTTGGCTCCATACTCATGTAGATCAAGTACAAGTCAAGTGTGTCGTGGAGTTGCAAGGTACCGAACACGGCAAGCGTGTCAAGAAGGCTCTGCTAGACGCTGGATACCCTGTTGCCTGGAACATTGATGTTTGTTCGTGAGAAAACGCCAATGACTTTATAAGCTGCATGACTCAATTGGTTGGAGCAAGGTCACATCAGGCAGCTCAACAGAACATAGCCACCATTGACAATTCACCAATCAGAGCCCCCGAAGGAAAGGAGCGGGCAAATCCTTCCCCAAGGAAGAGCGCCATCGCCCACAAGCTCACCAATGAGAAACGAGCCTGAGATATAAATAGCGACCTCAATCCTTACTTTTCAACCACATTTGTGCGTTCACAGGTGCAGAGCCAACCAAATAAGTAGCGTTACTGGTCGTTGTCCAACAACAACTCCACTTGAAACATTCTTCAATGGCACTCAAGCAACAACCCAATCAATCTTCTATCTGCATTTCACTCGACCGCAGATATAGCTCAAGTTAGCAGCTCTGCTGATTGCATATTATCTAGCTAGCTTGGGGATTCTCTGATGGATTGATGCAATCGGAAATTTGCTTCATTCCTAGCCCGAAGTGTAAAGAGCTGTCTGGCTCTAACCAGCATCCGTTTGTTTGTCTCCTCCAGAGAAGGCTGAAGGTAAATGTCTGACAAGGATCGGGGCACTTCATCTTCCTCCCCAAGGGGAACACGGCAGCCCAATTGTAGTTTGGATATGAGGGCCTTGGAATACACGTTTTTAACAAGGGACCAGAACATGTTTGCAAGAGTCCCTGTGTTGAAGGCCAAGAACTTGGTGAAGGTAATAGGATAAAGTTCCCCCATTTCCAAATTGAACTGATAGCAGAATTCCAGTTTTAGATTGTCCCAATCAAAGCTGCCAAAATCACCCATGGTCTGGTGACCATTTCGGATGGTTGCCAGAGTTGGCTGGCACACAAGGAAATAGTAGTAGCATCCTACCTGTAAAGGCAAGAAAGAATAACGAATTGGGCCTGTGAGCCACCAGGGGTCCTTGCTAAAGTTGGCTGACACACGAGGAAAGAATACATGAATCCTACCTGTGAGGTAAGAAACCAATGACAATTCAGTTCTTGAGCAATCCTCAGCACAAATTATTCAATCTATTGCTGGTAGCACATACCATGCAACTTCTCCAGTTTTCCTCCGATTCCATAGCGGCTATGTAGTTGTGTTTCCCATTATTCATGACATGGAGACCCTCATTTTTTACTGGATCAACATCCAGACAAAGAAGGCCTCCTGGAAAGAGTTGAAACAGCTTTGAAAGCATTTCAAGCCCCTGTTCCACCGAATTGTTAACACCGTATTGCTTTTGAAAGGCCTGTATTCTGGCTATTCTCTTGAGCGCATTTGAGATATCTCCTTCAGTAACAATGGCGTATTGTGCTAGCCACATGTCATTTTCTTCATCAAGATCAGGTCGATTCACCACAGCCTCCTTCAATTGCAAAGCCCATCTCTGCTCTTCCTGGGTGAGCATCATAGTACTGTGCTGGTGACACAAGGGATCTTGTAGCAAATTCCCAATGAGATCAACTTCCTCATCATCGTAATCTGATTCTTCATGTTCACTGTTGGTTTCATGATCTCCTTCGCTTCCAAGACTCCCATCTTCGTCATTGCTGAGAATTCCATCCACATTGTCAAGGCTGCTGCTTGTTCCGCTATGGCTGTGGTCCTCCTGCCGTGGTACTGGTATCACCTCTTCCTGGAGTTCACTGCTTGAGCCACTGCTTGAGCCACTGCTGTCACTCTCTTCATCACCATTTCTGTGAATTCCTGCCTCAGTGTCAAGGCTGCTGCTCCGGTCCTCCTGCCTTGGTTCTGGTATCACCTCTTCCTGGAGTTCACTGCTTGAGCTGCTACCGGTACTGTCACTCTCTTCCTCGCTATTGTCACTTGGACTAATCTCCGTTTCCGGTGCCTCACTGCGGTCGGTCCTCGGTTGTTTATTGCTGTACATCGTTGTCGACAAGTTTCCCGACTTCCCGATGAGCTATCTGCTTGAAAGATGGTCCGCTTATAAATGAAGTCGATCAAGAGCCCCACCAATGATCGAGTCTCTGTCAGTCCAACAGGCCAGACTTGGACCCGTTTCCTCCAGCAATAATATTATGCATACTACTAGTACCGGGTGGTACCACCAGGTGGCCGTGCATGTACATTTAATTAAAAGAGCGCTTTCAAGCCAGCTGGGATGGTCTGTACCCACAATGTCAGCTGGTCTGCCAGGGAGCCCTTCTTGCGCCTCCATCTTGATTGAATGTCAAAGGCGATCCAGCTTGCTCTCGGAATGTATTATGCGGACCATCTTTCAAGTTGTTGTGATGGCAGCCTGTACTGTGGTCTTACCTAAGGTAAATAACACCATCAACGCATATGTTCCTGATGCTGCTGATTTGCTTTCGAAGGCATCAAAGGCGTACCGGTATCGTGATTACCACAAGGATACCGTACCGTCACCCCCTTCTCTGAGTCCTTGGGGCATCACTATCAGCCCGATCGTAGCCCTGCTTCCTTCGCCTCCAACCGAGAGAACAGGATAATTTTTAATAAAATATGAAAGCAAGGAACGGGCTACTGTACCGTAGAATACTCGCAGAGCTATGCCCTAACGGTAGCCCTTGAGGCATCGGTGCTTGTACCACGGCGTGAGTGAGACACCAATAAACCAATCTCTCATGCAAGGAAAATACGCTGCCGAACGACGATATCCTGCTCATTGCTCTGGTATACAAAAAAGCTTGATCCGTTCTAAATATTGTTGTGCAATCAAGTGTTTGAAACTGCTTACTAATTAAGCAGATGTCAGCTCTTTCACGGGAACAGCCACTGATGGGTGATCTCCCTGTCCTTCCTGCCATTCATATTCTCCCTTGGCAGCAGCACTGGCAATAGCGAGTTCCTCTACGTAAAGTTTGCTCATTTCATCGAGCTGCAACTCTCCCTTGCCTTTGCAGAGTTCAAGAAGAGGCAGTTGGAGGGCTTGACTCCAACTGAAAGACAAGTTCCAAGGCCCTTTGGTGTTGGCCTTGTTGATGGCACTGAGCCGGGAAGCGGCTTGTTCCAGGGTCTGCCCTCCGGACAAATAGTTGGCTCCGGGCATGGCAACTGGGAAGGACTGTTCCAGCACATACACATTTGCTTCAGCAATCTCTTCCACAGTGTAAGTGGTCTCGCAGTCTTTGCCTGGGTTGATAATATTGGGTTTTAGGGTCGTGCCGGGCATGTACACTCCATGGTCAATCATAGCCTTGAAGAGCTCAGATTGAATGCGGATATTGATATCTGCTGCCTGTTCAAGTGTGTGTGTTCCACTGAGGCTCACATCGGGTTCGACAATGGGCATGAGACCCTCCGACTGGCAAATCAGGGCATACCTTGCTAGGTCCTGCATGTTGGCCTTGATAGCCAGGTCTGTGGGACATCCTTTGGCAACATCGATAACAAGAGGAGACCTCCATTTCGCAAACCGAGCACCTCCATCGTAATACTCCTTGCATCGAACTGACAGACTGTCAAGTCCCTGCATCACCGTGTCGCCGTTTGTCCCGGGCAGTGTATAGATTTTCAAGTGTGGCTTGATTCCTGGCACAATGCCCCGTTCCGTGAGTACCTCGGGGAACAGTTTGTCGTTGGTCGACGATTTTTGGTACAGAGTTTCGGGGTCCAAGATTGCAGCACTGAGATAATCATTACAGCCAGGAGCTTCGAATAACATCTGGCGGTATTGGCGGCGTGTTTCCTCTGAGTTTTCCACGCCGACGTTGTCGAATCTTCCGCCAATTGTTGCAGGGCCTTCATCACAGGCAGTGATACCTTTCCCTGGGGTAGCCACAGCGTTGGCGGTCTCTTCCAATGCTGCTTTTTCGGCAGCAGAAAGGAAGGTGCCCCCAACAGAAAAGGCCGAGGCCGAGCCTGTTACGGTCAACAGGAACAAACTTGCTTGGACGAACTTCATCCTTTCTCCTGTAGAATAATCACAAAATGCCTTCCAAATAGATCAGATGCAGAAGCAGATGGGAAGAGACGCCATGATATCCATGGCAACAACGCACGAGAAAATCAATTTATTGTAGGAGGTACGAAGGTGCGAACACGTCACCCACCCCATGATTTTGCAATGGGGCTCTTACTGTGACGATTTCCAGAGTATCAATCCAAACCCACAGGCTTATTCAATGTCCCGAGAAAACAGATGCAATGTGATGGGATACTGAGTGATACTCTCAGCTCTCGGCTATCTACTTGGTATATTCCGGTAGAGACGGTGCTGTTGTATTGGGTCTGAGACATGGACCCCCACTTCCAGCATGCTTCGCATATTGGAAGGCTTTCATCACAAGGTGGCTCGCCGAATTGCTGGCAAAATGTGAAAGCTCATTGGAGGCGTTTGGCATTACCCACCGGTTGATGAGGCCCTGAGTACAGCTGGCCTGCATCCCATCTCGACTGATCTCGAGAGGCTGAGCAACAGGTTGGCTGACTATGTCGTCACCCGCCCAATCTTTGACCTGTGTGGGCAAGTTTCAAGGATGTCAGGTACCCCACAACAGGCTGTGGGACCACCTTCAGCCACAGCACTGATTGCAGTGAAATGTATGTAGTCTTTTAAAATCGTTTCGTTGTGCTGTGTCCAGGTTCTCATAGAGCCTCTGCCTGGGATTGGGATCATATGTTAGGCAAGCTTTACGGAACCGGCAAGGACCCTTAACACACAATACCGGTAGACGTAGAGAGGAAGTTTCGATGTGCTACCGCCACTGTTCCATGCTTGCTCAGTTCCGTCGGGATGATAGTATGTTTATTAGACAAGCAAGAACTGCCCCACATCCTTTTATGGCTTGCTGGGTTGGATGTGAAACATGTTGCTGTGCTCGGTTTGCCCCTCGGCGGGAAACGCATACAGTGTGCTCGGTTTTGCGCCTTGCTTCGCGCTCACCAACCGAGAGCAAGCAATAGTGCTTTCTGTCAGCAATCTGTCAACATTACTACAGCGATCCTACGATACCACTTCAGGCTTTCTTCGAGCCTGGTCTCTTCATCTTCGAAAACTAAGATGTACGCATACCGTGAAACAATCTCCCTGAAAGCAACTTGGTTGGGTGGTTAAGAGTGATATCTAGCGATGACATTAGATGAAAATTGATCGTACTGGCAGTTCGCCTTGGACTCATCATGGATTGAATCAAATCAGAATCGAATCACCACAACAACCTCATAGCCACTACACTGCCTGCCACGATGTCTTGCGTGCTTAATAACCCCAAACCAAACCGTTTAGGGCTTGACAAGAGTTCCATAACCGATGGCGAAACCAACAGCCAAAGAAACAACACATGCAACAAGTCCAGCTCCGTATCCGATAACAGTAGCTTCGTCAACCTCAGTGGCATGTGCGGCGAAAGGAGCGATAGCAGTGGCGAAAGCAGCGACAGCAGCGGCGTTCTTGGTGTCCTTCACCTCTCGAAGGGGTTCAGGGAGCTTGCTGGCGGCAAGAGGCTTGACAGCAACAGTCTTAGGGGCGACAGGGGCAAAGGCAGAAGCGCATGCCACAATGACGGCGATAAGGATAAGTTGGAAGGACTTCATGATAAATTTCTATAGAACAGAACAAGAAGAAGCGCAGAGGTGAGTATCAAATCAGCACACATCAACAGGCTTGATCCTGCTTTTAGCCTCCTGCTATAATCACATTATCGACCAACGCCGATCGGAAATTTGTCATCTCACTACAGCTTAATGGTGCCCCACGGCTACTGGTCAGTACTCTTGCATCCCTCCGCTCCACCCATCATTGCTTACATACCTGCTGTAAAATCGGTTATGAAAAAATTGTAGAGCAAATGCAGTGGTTGGTTGTGTTCGGCTGGAAACGTAAGCGCCAAGGATCAAGGGGAGGGTTCTCTGCTTCGTGCGTAGGAAGGTTGCGAAGCACCGCCGTCCGCCCATGGCAAACAACAGCAAACGTTCGATGCTTTGGCTCGTCTCGTCCCATGAATTTCCTGCAATCCGCGCAAGTACGTCACACATTGGGAGATCCCTCAAATTCAACTTCAGAAAGCAGCAGAGCTACAAGTGCATGACAACCCGCTTTCTCTTGAGCGAGTAAAGTGGGAGAGTAAGTGTACGATAGCGAGCTCATTGTACGATGTACATACATCAACAAAATCCGTACCAGCAAATGCATTCTATCTCAAATTTCATTTCTATAGCTTGACAAACTACTGTACGAGCTAGTATATTACGCGGGGCTTCCTTCCCTTGGCCAAGGCACGCAAACTTCGAAGCTTCGACTGCGCTCTCAGCAGTGCACCGTATGCCTCGTCGATGGGAGAAGGCGTTCCAAGGTTCTGGCTGCCAGCAGTGATTCTAGAGGCGTGTTGAAGCTCGCGCGAAAACTCGGCTATGGCTCCCGAAAGAGGGTTTTGTCCCTCGTTCTGGGCATCGTACGAAATGGCGAGCAGCCTTTGCGCCTCTACCTGACTTTCTGGATCTTTTGTGTCCATCAAGACCTTCAAACTTCGAAGTCTGTCCTTGAGCCGGTTGAGTCTTTCAAATGCGTCGTCGACGTTGGGTAGCGTATGCGGGGCTCTCTGGGGAGGAAGAGTACTGAGCGGTTGTTGGACCTCGGATTGTCTCAGATCGGAGGGAGGAGTCGGGGAGGTTTCTTGTGCGCGTGGTCCGAAATCCAATTGCTCTGTGCGCTGCGGTTCCTGTACAACCGGTTCGCTTTCACGAGAAGTACTTGCTTCCTGCTGGGTGCTTGGTGAAAGATCCGTAACTTCGTCGAACGGAAACTCTTGCTTCGAAATGCTCTCTTCGCCCTCGGCTTTTCTCTGCTTCTTCTTCTTCTTCCTCCTCCTCTTTTCTTCTTTCTTCCTCTCTTCCTCTTTCTTCCTCTCTTCCTCTTTCTTCTTCTTCTTTGCTTTTTTCTTCTTGGGCTTTGCGTCCTTCTCGTTTGCATCCGTTGTCTCCTCCGTCTCTTCCTCGGGCGACTCTGTTGTTTCTGGTGCAGTCATATCCTTTGTTTCCTTGGGCTCTTCGGAAGTAACGTGACTGACGGCATCGGCAACAACGACGGAATCAGTTGTTCCAAACTTAGCTTTCATTGATGAATCTACACTGACAGTTTCATTGTCCAACGTGGAAGTCTTGGCACCTGATATTGCCGAGAAGGCCTTAGCGAATGCATCCTTTTCGTTTATTTTTGGCTCTTCGTCCTGGACGGCTTCGTCCGTCGGTGGTGCAGCGTCATCAACAGGGTCAAAGTCGCCCGAGCTCGCTGTGAGCTCAGAATGAATAGAAATCACGGACAAGTCGCTCCCATTGGGATCAACGGGATCTGAGTAATTCTCATTGTCAGGCTTGTACCCTGCGGGGTCGTCCTCTTTAGTGAATTCATCGAGGAAGTTTCGAGGAGCATCATCGTCTTGTTGGCTCTCAGCGGCTGCTCTCGCCAGCGTGATAGGGATTAGCGGGTTGCCCAGGGGCTCGAGCGCTTCTGCCGAAACAGCAGCACTCTCAACATCTCCCGTGTCGGCAGATTGCATTTGTTTTTCGAGTGAGGCCTGGAGATCAGCCTCCTTTGGTTCTTCATCCATCCCGCCGAGTCCCCCCGCGCGACTGTCAGTCTGTGGGTTCGAGGCAGCTCCGAGGGACAGTGCGATTTCGCCCTTATTCGTCTTTGCAGCCGTCTTCTTCTTGAAACTTGAACTTTCTGCCGACGTCTCCTCGCTGATTGACTCTGCTTCCCCAGAGGAAGACTCCCCGGTTTGCGCAGTTGCTTTCTTGACTGTTGGTGCCTTTTGCGTTTTCTTGGGCTCTGAGTCTGACTCCGACTCTGAACTTTCCTCTTCTGATGACGACTCCAGAAGCTTTTTTGCCTTTGCCTTTGGTTTTGGCTTCTCCTCGGAATCAGACGATTCCTCCTCCGACGACGACTCCAAAACTTTCTTCGCCTTTGGTTTCGGTTTCACTTCAGACTCAGACGATTCCTCTTCTTCTGACGAAGGTTCAACAGGACCGGACTTTTGCTTCGCTCCGGACTCGTCAAAGGATGCAGACTTCGCAACGCTTTGGCCACCCGGTACTTCTTCAGCAACAGATTCGTCCTGCTTGAGACTCGGGTCATTCGGGCTGGCATCAGCCTTGTCGCTTCCGCTCTGCTCGTCAAGTGCGCCGAGTAAAGGCGTTTTGTCGGGTGCATCGCTAGATTTCGGATCTGTATCATTCTTCTCCTCTTCGAGCACGGGAGCAGCACTGGCGACGGCGCCTGGTGCTTCCTCTGTAGCGGACTCTAGCATTTCTGCGACCATTTTTTCAGCCTCCTCTTCGTCTCGAGCTGCTTTCTCCATGTTGCGCCGCAACTCTTCCGAGGAATTGGTCGACAAGGACTCCAGGGAGAGCTCGATGCTGCTGCTTTCATTTTCAATGTCGACTTGGACACTCACCAAATCAGCAACCTTGGTATTCAATAACTCTGCATCCTCTGGTGAGATCGACATGCCGGCGATAGGAACGTCAGTTTGGGGAACTGGAGCCACCGGGGCAGGAGCACTAGGAGCCTCATCGGGCATCTCTTTTAGCGCTGGAAGCTTCGGCTCGTCTATCTCATGAGCACTGACTCCTGCCGCATTGTGCGGTACCACTGTTTCTTTGGATCGATCAACGGGGTCTTGAATGGTAATAGCCGGCGTTGATTTGGCTTGCTCCACCTGTTTGCTTGATGGAATCGGTACAGCTCCGGTTGCATCAGTTACAACAGAGAAAGATATTTCTGAAATGTCGTCATGGGCGACAATTTGGCGCGCAGCATGCGGAGACTCTTCGCTGGGCTGCTCCAGTGATAGTTCAGAACCAGCCTCTGTTGCGACAGCTTCGATTCTTGGTGACCTGGCGGTCGGGGGAGCAGCGTTTGCAGCGCTTTTTTCGTTGAATTTGCTGGCTAGCTTTGCGACCGTGCCACCTTCACTCGGTATCGTGCTGGCTTGATTCCCACGCACTGCTTCGTTGCTCGGTACATTCGTTGTCTTGTCAGACGCACTGTCTTTTGTATCCACCTTTTGCTTCGTCGGCTGCCACCTTCTGGTTGGACGTGGCCTTTCCTCTTTGGCCGTCAATGCATTCTTTTGCTTCTGATTCGCTGCCTCCAGATCTCTCACCGCCTCCTCCGTTCTTTCCAGCTCTTTATTCTGCTTGTCTAGCTCGTCTTGCAACTCTTTGATTCTAGCTGCTTCAGCCAGCTTCTTCTTTTGCTTTTCATTCTCCAGCTCAAGGTCTCGCATCGCTTTCTTTCTTTGTTCCAGTTCCTTGTTCTTCTTTCTTTCTAGCTCCTCCTGTAGCTTTTCTACCCTCTCAGCTTCGGCCAAGGCTCTCTTTTGCTTCTCATTCTCTGTTTCCAGATTCTTCATCGCCTGCCTTTTCTCCTCAAGGTCCCTTTTCTGCTTTTCTAGCTCCTTCTGCAGTTGCCTGACGGCGGCAGATTCTGCTGCTGCTGCTCTCCTTGCATTATCTGCTTCCAATTCCCTCTTGGCCTTCTTGGCGTCCTCGAGCTCTCGATTTTGCTTTGCCAGCTTTTCTCGCAGTTCTTTGACCTTGGCAGTTTCCTCTGCAGTTGGTTCCTTCTCGACATTCTCTGGTTTCTTTCTGCGTTCGGGTTCCACGTTCTGTCGCACGCGAGGCAATGCACGCGGCTGCGGCCGTTGCTGCGGCATGGTTGCTTGGATGCCAGGGTTGCTTAGTTTGGGCACCGCCGCCCTGTCCACACCTTGTCGAATCTGTCTGGAAGTCGGTACGCCGGTCTGTACGGTCGGCCACCTCTTCACCGATGATGCCGCTGTTCCGCCAGGGATTTCGCCCGTGCTCTCTTGGGCCGAATCGTTCTCCTCGGGAGCTTCCTCCTGAACAGCTTCGACTCGCAAAGGAGCGGCAGCAGGTCTTCCGGTGTTTACAACAGGCCAGCTCTTTGCAACAGTGCCCTGTTTCGGGATTTCATCTGTCCTTGGTTGGCTTTCCTTCGCCTCCAGTTCCTTGTCCTGTGCGGCTTCCTTTTCCTCGATTTTCTCCAATTCTGCGGGTACAGACGCCTTTGATTGTTCTGGTGCAACTGGGGGCCACTGCCTCGGAGGTTCTTTGTAGCGCGGCGTCTGCTGTTCTTGGCCTTGTGCATCGCCGAGACCTTCCCTGTCTTTCTCGACGTTTTCATCTGCAAACCCTCTGGGCAGCAACAAATCATCAGACGTTTCAGTCTCTGACGAGGATCCAGATGACGACAGTGCCACTGAGATGACTTCCACGGACAACGCAACACTCCTGTCGTCTGTGCCAGCCGGTGTGAAATCATCGTCCGGCAACCATTTATTGGGCCCCCCAAACGTCGTGCTCTCGTCATCCAGATCATCTTCATTCATTAGCGACTCCAAGATGCGCTCTGCACTTGCAATTAAATCTTTCTCGAACTGCAACGTTTTTTCCAAAGCGTCCATTTTCTCGTTGATGCGTGCGTCTGGTCGGTAGAAAATTTCCTTGACTTTCCTGAATTCATCTGGTTCCTTTCGACTGGACAAACGAACATTGTTTGGGTCTTGGGCAGAGACGGAAGCCACATAACCTGTAGAGGATATAATGGTGCCATCCTTATCCATGCTGGGTGCAGTATGTTTATCAGAAGTAGACAGTGGCTCTGATAGAACGGGCTCTGATGTTATGGGCTCCTTTGGAGCTGGTGCCAAATCGTCTTCTGCGGCACCTTCCGATGCAGACACAGACTCGATGGAACCAACAGAGGAATCAACGCTGTCGATGTCGTCGATTTCCGTCTTTGGAGAGACTTTATTGATAGTGGAGAAAGCCTGGGTGAATTCGTTAACCTTCGCGTCGCGCTTGATTGCGTCCTCAGCATCAACGTCGGGGTCAGCGGGCAAAGCATCAGAAGCGGGCCTGGGCACTTCTTGAGGGAGTTGGCTGTCTTCAACAGTTGTAGTGCCAGGCTCCCGTGAAGTAGAAACTGATGCTACAGTGCCTACCGATGAATCGATTCCTTCACTATCGACCAAGGTTGCATCCGGTTGTTGGCTGACTTCTGTCAGCGCCGAGAACGCCTTTGCAAATTCGTCTGCATTTTGTGTTGTTGGCGTTGCAGCTTTTTCCGTTGCAGCTTGCGAAGGCATCTCGTTCCCTGGTTCCAATGGTAGAGGGGTGACTTTTTTCTCCTGAATCAGTTTATCTTGAGCAGCCAACAAGTCTTCATCGCCACCTTCCTCGGTGCCCGAGACAGAATCTATGGTGCCAACAGAAGAGTCAACACTGTCATCATAATCTTTTTCCAGTTTTGGGGCAGGTCTATTGATTGTGGAGAAAGCCTGGGTGAATTCATCCACCTTTGAGTCACGCTTTGTTGCATCACCATCGCCATCTTGCGGTTCAGCTGGCACTGCATCAGTAGGCGCAGATGACTTGGCAGCACTCGCATCGTGTGGCTTTGCTGTCCTGTCTTCTTTCTGATCGCCCAGTGCAGGCGCCAGCCCTTCTGGTCCCGATTCATCTCTCGAAGGGGACGTTTCTTTGGGATCTGTTTGAGCAAGCTTTGCTGGAGCATCTGCTGTGACATTTCCCTGATCGGTTGTAGTGTCAACAGGCCTCTTTGCAGATAGCCCTAACTCGACTTCATCATCAGTGACAACAGAGGATATGGAGCCGACCGAGGAGTCTATGCTGCCTTCGTCCTCGACTTCGTGAGTTTTCTTTGGTGGTGCAGGCGCGTTGAGGGCAGAGAACGCCTGGGTAAAGTCGTCCACCTTTCGTGCAGACTCCGCAGGCTCCAATTTTTCCACAGCTTGCTTGCTAGTTTCTTCCAACTTCAATCGTTCCTTGGTTTCGGGGGGTTGTGACACAGCACGCTGCAGGGGCTCGGCAAATATTTCTGCATCCTCATCGAGTTCATCTCCCGGTTTTCCGAGCAAATCAGGAGCAGCCACTGGTTCTTGCATTGTCGATGCGGTTGCAATCGACCCCACGCTAGAGTCTATGCTTTGCTCCTCATCGGCAGTCTTCGGGGCTTTCTTGTCTGGGCTGCTAAGAGACGAGAAAACCTGCGTAAAATCTTCTACTTTTTGTGACGGATCCGCTGGCGGTTTACGCTCTGAAGCGCCCTCCTGTGCTGAAGGTTGGCTCACTTGCTTCACTGATGCCTTGTGATCTGGTGCCGATGATTTGGGCGAGTCATCATCATCATCACCACCATCTTTCTGTGGTTGAATGCCACCTGTGATTGCTGGCTTTGGATCAGGCCCCTGGGCAATTTCAGTTTCCATCTCCGAGTCATAGACTGCAGAGGAAAGCGATCCAACAGATGAATCCAAGCTGTCGTCATTGTCAACTTGGGCATCCTTGCCTTTTGAAGTCGCAAGGGCAGAGAATGCCTGTGTGAAGTCGTCAACCCGACCACCTGGAGGCTTTTTTGGCTCGTCATGACCCTCCTTCACAACTTTCTCCTCGTTCTCTTGTCGAGTTGGGCCCTCTGTCGTTTCTTTGCCAACTGCAGGGGCAGTCCTTTCTTTTACTTCGGCCACTTTATCAGATGGAGGTTTTTCTTTGCTTGTTGGCTTGATAGCTTCACTTTTGTCCGGGGATTCCAGTTCTGAGTCGTACACTGCTGTCGACAGGGATTGAACCGACGAATCCACACTGTCGTGGTCATCGTCATCGTCAGCATCTTTATCTTTTGGAGCTGCCAAGGAAGAGAATGCCTCGGTGAAGTCGTCAACTCGACGAGTCGCTTGCTCTTGTGGCAAATCTCGACTTTCTGCAACTTCCTCCTTTTCCTCGTCTTTCCTCTGTTCGGTTAGAGCCTTTGCTGGGACTGAGCTTGGCTTCTCTGCTGCCCCCTCCGGAGCATTATCTGACAGGTCGTCAGAGTTTTCAGATGCGGAACTAATATCTCCAATGGAAGAATCAACGCTTTGCTGATCAAGGTATTCATCAGCCTTCATGGGTTTGGGCGCAGACAACGCCGAAAACACGTTTGTGAAGGCTTCAACGCGGTCTTCCTTGGTAGCTTCCTTGGGATCATCCTTGGGATCTTCCGCGAGCGCGGGATATTCAAGCTTGGCTTCTTCCTCAAGTTTGGGCTCTTCTAGGATTTTTGGCTGTCCCTTGGTGTCACGATCACCAACAGTTTCTTCCTGCTGGTCCCTTCTTTGGTGAGTCGATTCTGATTGGTAGGTTGCAGAACTGATGGAAGCAACTGAGTCGTCTATCAAACTTTTGTCGTCTCTGCCTGGATCAGATAATTTTGTTGCCTGCGGCTGTTGTTGTGGGTTAGAAACTGCAGAGTATGCCTTCATGAAGTCACCAACTCGAGCACCATCAACTTCCTCTTCTCGAGCGTCAGAGTCAGGTTTATCCCGCCCCCCTTCGTTTTCAAATGTTTTTGTTGGAGCTGATGGTTCAGCTGGTGGAACCCCAGGTGCTTCCCTGTCGTCTGTCTGTTCCAACTTCTCCTCCCCAACGTCTGGAGGTGATGGTTCCCAGAGTTGATCGAACGAATCAGAGGAAACCGACGAGACCAGAGACGGCAAATCACTGGTGGTTTTTAGAGAGCCTTCATCCTCGCTCTCTGGTAGACTCTTTGGTTCCATGGATGGTTTCGAAGCACGCTCTTTGCGTCCAGGCCCAGCACTCTTGTCAGCATCCCTTGATGTGTGGTAGCTTTTGGAAGATGTCTCGCTAGCTTCATCTGCAGCCGACAGGAATGGGCTTTCTCTGCCCTTTTCGCCAGCGTCAGACCCTGATTGTGCAGAGTCGTAATCGCCTGCATCTGAACCAGCGTCTGAAATATCACCGAATGAGGAATCGATGCTCATCTCCTCAACATCTTTTGTCTGTTGCATGTAGTTACCTGGCGGTGCACTTGATAATGCGGAAAAAGCCGACGTGAAGTCATCCACTTTCGGTGGTGGCGCTGGGGGCGCTGGGGGCGCCTCTGCAGGTTCCGGTGGAGGTGGACGCGGAGGACCCTTTTCTTGTGGCGTTTCCGCCCCTGGAGTCTCCGTGGTTGCCGGCGGAGGAACTGACTTCGAAGCTTCTGCATCTGCAGCATGTCGTTGTTGTGTTTCTTCAACACTCTTGTTCAAGTCTCGAAGTCTTTTCTCCAGGTCATCACCGGCTCGATTGGCGCGATTCAACTGTGATTGCAGATTGTCCATTTTGGCTTTGAGTGCTTTCAATTGCTCATCAGGAGGGAGGATTCCAGACTCTGGGATGAAGTCAACAGCTTCAACTGGTGGCTTGGGCATCTTGGCACTTGTTCGAGAAATACTTCCACTTTCGCCGACAGCTTGCAGCTGTTCTTCCAAGTTCGCGCTCAACTTGTTTGTGTCAGAAAGGCGGGCTTGCAAATTCCCAACGTTTTCTTTTAGGCTACCTAGCTGTTGATTGATCTCTTTTCTGCCCTCTTCTGACGGCATCTTATCATTGAGACTGTCTCGAAGCGAGTTGATGCGTCTCTCCAAATCATTGCTCCATGCATCGGTCTGTGTCAAATCAGATTCAAGCTTGTCCACGAGCCCTCTCAAGTTAGTCATTTGTGTTTCATCAAATTGATCTAACTCTTCCACTTCTCCCTGTGATGAATCCTCGTCTTCAATTTCTTCCGTCAAAGCCTCAAAAGTCGCTACTATGGCTTCACACAACTCAACACCATTTTCGTAGGAGGTATCCAAGTATGGCTTCCGCTGTAGTTTGACCCGTCCTTTTGACCAATCAACCGCCGTGGAGAGGCTGATCGCCACAAGATCGTCTCTATCACCAACTGAGCTTTCGTCCGAAGCGGCAGCATCAACCTCGACCCCTTCATTTTTGTCTCTAACCAGATCGACGAGTACCTGATGAACCTTCACCCCTTGCTTGAAAGAATTCGTCTTCCTGCGCGACACTTTCCACCAAACTTTGCCCCCAATGGTAGCTGAGATAGAAAGAAACATGCTTGCCTCTTCGTCTGTTTCACCGCCACTGGACCCCCCACCTCGTATCCTCAAGACTGGAACCTCGCCCATCCCCCCCGCCGAGTATGCTCGACTCAAACCCTTTCCTAATGTAGTTCCGGCTTCCAAAAGATCTTGCAACTTGGACATGTTTGTTTCTTCCCCATAAAGCACTTGCAGGCCAGTTTCATCACCACTATTGTCATCGTGGCTAAAGTTTCGGTACTCCCCCAACCAGTCGTTCCGTACCGGTGACTCGTAACCCAGCCATCTTGGTTCCGAATTTGATGAAAGCGAAGAACTGATGGAATCCCCACTATTGTTGATTTGCATCGAACCGATCGAACTTCGGCTTCGACGCCGCCCTCCTTCAAAGAAGCTCATGCTGAACACCGTGGAGAAGTCTTTTTCTCAATAGAGCCTGCTACCAGGTAGCCCTTTGCTAGGTCGTTATCCATTCATCCTTGATGTCACCTACAGCAATCTTTTGATCGATTGATCGAGAAAGAGTGGACAAAATCCAAAATTTGGTCGCCTGATTCGATTCATTACGCTTATCCCTAAAATACCTTTCTCTCTGCATTCTTACAGCCTTGCTGGCTTTAATGTACAACATTAGAGCTCGGGCTATTCGTCAAGCTTCGGACGAGCTCTTCCGGTGGATCCAAAAAGCCGTCGCGACGCTGTCACAATGGCGCCCATTGAGTTACAAAGCATAGAAGCCCTACTTTTCTAGTCTCGAAGCCAGCAGGAACTTTTTCTTGAATCCAATCATAGTACGCGAACCATGGATAGTGTGTTTGGAGTTTGTTACAATGGAGGAGGTGAGTTTCTCTTGGCCGGATCTGTTGTCATGCTTTGTAACTCGTCTGGCTGTTTGTTTTGTTGGCGGAGGTTGGCACAGGATCCTTTTGATCTTTTTGTTTCTCACCGTCGTAATGCCTTCCCTTCCAGTGATCCTCGCCGCGGATCAGTCGAATGCTCGTTCCATTTTGGTGTACCAAGAGAATCTCGACAAGATTGCGGAATTGACGAGTCACTCCGCAATGGGCGTCGCTGGACCCAACTGCGATTTGGTCAATTTCACAGAATACGTCGCCAAGAACATTCGGCTCTACGAGCTCTCCAATGATGGAACCAAGTTGTCGGTCCACGCCCAGGCCAACTTTGCCCGTGGAGAACTGGCCTATGCCTTGCGACGGGGCCCCTACCAAGTCAACATCTTGTTGGGTGGATACGACACGAACGAGGCAGACAAGTCAAAGGAAGGTGCTAGCTTGTACCACTTGGATTACATGGGTACCTTGCACAAGGTTCCCTTTGGAGCTCAGGGATACGCTTCCTACTTTACGCTTTCAATCATGGACCGTGAGTACAAGGAAAACTTGAATGAGGCCGAAGCCATTACGATTGTGGAGCATTGCATTGCCGAAATACAAACTCGTTTCATGTTGAAACAACCCAACTACATCATCAAGGCGGTGGACAAGGATGGAGTTCGAGTGATCAAATATGGAAGTGATCCCTCCGATAATTAGAATAATTTCTCAAGGCTTGGGAAGTCATATTGGAAAAAGCTCAGTAGGTTCAACCTTATATTTTGTCAATAGTCTAGTTGTACAGTACTGTACGCTGAATGTTTCATCGTACAACAAGATAGAATATACTGGTATAGGCAACTAACGCACCAAGAGGAAGTTGGTATAGCTGAGCCGTAAAATAATGCCACACAAACACAAGACGACAATGGTATGGCGGGAAAAAACCATTGTGAAGGCCGTTTGGACAGCACCCCTTTTCCTCCTTGTTTTAGCCGCGTGCTCGGGTGGATCTTCTTGGGTATCGTCTCGGTCTTTCTTCGTTAGAGACAGACTCTTTCTCTTCTTTTTCCTTTCTGGCAGCCTTCTTCTTTGGATCTTTCTTTGATTCGGCCTCTGCCTCTTTGTCGGTTGTGTTCGAATCTGCCTTCTTCCTTTTGGAGGCTGCCCCAGTGTTCTTGGTTTCCTTCTCATCGTCGGCAGTTTTCTGCTTCTTCGTATCTATTACTCGTTCTTTCTCAGAGTCCTTTGCTTCTTCCGTCTTGACAACATTCTTAGCGGCTCTCTTCTTCTTTGACGTTGATGACTTCTGCTTGTCTTCGTCTTGAACCTCTTCCTTTTTGGCTGCTGCCGGCTTTCGCTTTTTCGTGGATGTTGCCCCTTCGTCGTCTTTGGTTGTCGAGTCAGCCTTGGTTTTCTTTGCAGCCTTTCTTGATCGACCTTGCTCCTTTTGGATCGAAGCCACAATGGCTGATGTTCTCCCACCTGATTTGATAAAGGTAATCTGACGCCCTTTGGAGTCTTTGGCCTGGGCACGTTTCTTTTCCCATCGATAGTTGAACATCCAATCTCTTGGAAACTCTTCTTTGTCCCCATAGCAAGCCACCGCAGTCTCCAGTATGCTGGACAGCGTGTCCACCAGTTTCTGAGCCTCTTCTCTGCTGAGATTTTTTTGTTCTGGATGAAGCTCACACTGAAATGCCACTTCATCTGCAATCCAGTTGCCGACACCACTAACAGCACGCTTTTGATCAAGCAAAAGTGCTTTTATTGGCTTGGATTGTTCTGTCAGCTTGTTCAAGATTTCCTCCAGCGCATCTCCCTTCATTTCAAGAAGGGCATCAGGAGCCAATTCTTCAAATCTGTCTTGGTTGACATCCAAAACAACATGACCGAATTTTCTTGGATCCGAAAATGATGCCTCTGCCAACACATCTCCCGACGTCTTGTCTACAAGATTAAATGTCAAGTAAGTGTTGGGCAGAGGGTATTCCGTTGTTTCCTTGAGCTCTTCAAGGTTCGGAATAGAGCTTGGACTGGCGATACGTCCCGTCATTGCCATGTGAAGAAAGAGGTACACGTGCTTTGTTTTGGTGGTGGTTTCTTCTTCATCTTTTGTGGTCGTGACATCTATCGGTTCAAAGCATTCCAGCTCCATGCACAACAGCTTGCCTTTGCGAGTCACATCCACCACCGTGCAATTGTCGTTCAAGGCATCGATTTCAGCGTCACTCAAAAAGTTTTTCGGAGGATTGTCTTTGACGCGTTCAATCCGAAGTCTGTGGGATTCCCTCTTGTCGTCTGGAGATTTCAGGGTTACAAGTACCCTGCGCATAAACTCGACTTCTGGCAGTTCTGGCATGGTTTTGGTGCGTTTCGCAAGTGGCAGTACCAAAATTCTCAATGGAAGGCTTGATCCGATGTGGTTGTCACTGGAATTGATTGTGCCGAACTACTAGTACTGGGCAAAACAGGTGATTGTGACGATGCTTCTGGTGATAAGTTGGGTGACGCCCTACAGAAATCGCCTTTTTCGGAAAGGGTATCAGGGGCTAAAGGATTCGACTCTCACTCCACAGTCCACAGCCAAGGCAAAGCTGGGACTGAACAGATCGGATGGAATAGATAGATGCGAAATATTCACTTGTTGTGGGCCTGTGGTGTTGGTTGAGATGTCCAGGAACGATTGCACTATTTGGGTGGTGTGGAAGTGCCATGGGAAGGTTCGCAGCAAAGGATCGTCCGAGGATCTGTTCCAACATCAAAACACGCCAAGCTTGAGCCGCGCCAACACTGATCGGCACAAATAACGGCCAAGTCCCTCGACTGGCTAACCCTAACCCTGAAAACTTTACTCTTTTGGGAGTCTGTGGGGCCGCTCACCAGGTGGAAATAATGCCACTTCCTGTCAAAAAGAAGAAGGAGAAATGAGCGCCACAGCTGCGGCGTTGCTTATTTAAAACTACCGGTATGTGGTTGCAACACGGCAGCTCCGGCCTCCAAAACTCGCTCGGATTGAACGACGTCGGCGTCGTTCGACGTCGGCTACAACAACAACACATTCCTCAACAACAACACCGCCTTTCAAGCTTGCGTTTGTTGATGCATCGGTAGTGGTTATATAGACGAATTGTAGAGCCCATACTTGTATTTTAGGAGCGCCGTCTCGTTGAATTGAGTACCAGTACCAGTCTCCGGAGCGTACATGGTGGTGGTTGACGTTCCCTTGTTCCCTTTGTTGCGGTGTTACAGTACCGCTGCACTTTTGACTTCGCGCCATTTCGGAAAGGAAAGACGGTAGCAGAGTGAGTCACGAGACGAGTCGAGTCAACCGCGTCCAACCGTTACAAACATTTGGAATTATGTCTAGGTCAGTCGTGCAAGATTATCTCCCAGATTGTCAGAGAGAAAAGCGCGAAAGACTCGAGATAGTGGCTGTGGCAGGGACAGAAATATCACTCAGCAAACATCAACTCGCCTATCAACAAAGCCCCACGTAAACGCGTAGAAGATCAGAGAAATCACCTAATACAACGATCATTGGAGCTTGCTATCGCTGGCAACAACACGGCAGGTAGCTCAATTTGCAAGCCATTCTACTTCGTTTGGGGAGAAAGTAGCCTACCGAATTTTTTAGCTATGGTCACAATTCAGCCAAGGACATGTCGACACGATCAAGTCAAGGTAGAATATTCTTCTAAATGAAAAATAGGTAGCGATGTGGCTTACTGCCGCCTCTTGTGCATGTCTTGCTATCCTATAATCTACTCGTCATCGCAGCGGTTGTTGTGGGTGGAGGATGCATTTCGAGAATTGCTTGGGTCAACTGAATCACCTTGGGAAGGAGTGCGGCAACCTTCTTGGCAATGGGACTGCTGGCAACACCAGCTTTGGATCTCTGTGCCACTCCCTGCACAATGACACAATTCTTGAAATATAAAAAGGACAAAAAGAACCCGCTCCACTCCAGAGCAGTTTGGAGCGATTCCACGTTGGCCTCCTTGCAGTACATTTGGATGAGTTGTTCTCGAGAAGGAATTCCCAATTCTTGCAAATCCAATCCCGCAATTCCAGTAATGGCAGGAGCCGCCCGGGGCATAAAGTACATCATGGAGAGGTTGGCCAAGTCGCAGTAGCTATTGCCAATAGTGGAAAGCTCCCAATCCAACACTCCAATGAGTCTGGATTCTGTTGGATGAAAGATCAAATTATCCACTTTGAAATCGCCGTGAAGTAGACTGACAAGCTTTGGACAATGAACGGCGTGCTCCTTTAGCAAAATAGCCAATCGTTCAATGTCAGGGTTGTTGGATTCCCCACCGGCTAGTTCGCTTTGTTTTCGGCTGACGGACAAGAGTCGATCTAATTGTCGTTCGACGTAGCGACTAGGTTTCTTTCCATAGTCCAGTAATCCGACCTGCTCCAAGTTCACCGAATGTAGATTGGCCAAAACCCGAACAATATCACGGTATGCATCTTGTCGTTGTTGTCGCGTGAGTCCGGGCATGGAAGGGTCCGTAAAGATGCGCCCTTGGATGAATTGCATGATATAAAATTCCGCACCTAGCACTTGCTTGTCTCGGCAATACGCGTATACTTCTGGGACTGGTACGAGAGCATCTGGATGTAGCTGATTGTGGCGCTGTAGCGCTTTGAGTACCCGAAACTCGCGATGCAGAGCATGTGCCGAAGCATGAGCAACCTTTTGTGGCTTTTTGCGCAGAACCCATTTCGTTGTTGTTCCACTGTTGCTCGCAATCTTGACGAAAAAGGTCGGGTTTGACTGACCAAACCCAAACTGCTTGATGGTCAGCAACTGCTGGAGTTGACTGGCATCCGAGACATCTCGAAGAGAGAAGCCCCCTTCTAAAAGCACAGATTTCAGAGATGGCTGCAAGGTTATCCATTTGGTCAGGGACGCAATATCCAGAGACACTCTCAAGGCTGTCGTTCCTTGCCCACGATCCCCTTCCAATTTCGTCGAAGCTCCTTCTGTCCTCTTCATCTCCGTCGTGCCAGTGGCAGTATTCTTTTCTGGGAAAATGAGCTGAGCAAATAATCGATCACGTGGCGCTAGCTAGCAATGAGCCGGCGAGGCTGGTACCAGGTACCGGCGCCGCAAGTATGCATTGTAAAATCTTCCAGCAGGATCTTGGTCTGTCTGACCAACAAAGCACCTGCGATACCGTACCGGTACAGGGGTTTGATGAAGCACAGAAGAATGTGACAGACGAAACAGATTACTACAGATTGCACGGATGTAAGTAATATTTGTAGCCTTTGTTATTTATAAAATCTAAGCGCGCTATGAAAGCAAAACTAAAACGGTGAAACACTACCTTACCGGTAGGCAGTCCACCAAGAAACCCCGTCTGGGCCAGTGCTTGAGACCTAGCTAGCTAGCCACCAGCTAGGCGACCATCTCGTCATCGTCGTCCTCCACAGACACACAGGAGGTTCCATCCACGTCCCCCGCATCCACGCCGTCTTTTGTGATTTCTTCAAACCTGTCCACCGTCATGTCAGGGTGTTTGAGGAGCACAGGGTTTCTTTCGCCTCGGACAGCCTCTGCATCCACGTAAACAGTGTGGACATCCGGCAGCGAGGGTACCACAAACTGAGTCTCCATGAGAACATTGTCGGTGATGGAGCGCAAACCACGAGCTCCAGTACCCCTTGAAAAGGCCGTCTTGGCAATTTCTTCCAAGCCATCTTTCGTGACATGGAAGTTGACATCGTCCATAGCAAAGAGCCGTCTGTACTGTTTCATAATGGAATTTTTGGGAACCGTCAAAATATCGACCAGATCCTCAATATCCAGCCCTTTCGTAGAGACAATCACTGGGAAACGTCCCACGAATTCAGGGATCATTCCATATTCCACGAGATCCTTTGGAATGGCATTGTCGAAGTATCTCCCTTGCACCTTGGGATCATCGACGCGTTTCTTCATCTGGGCGCCGAAACCAATTGATGCTGCATCCATGCGACGGTTGATGATACGTTCCAGCCCGGAGAAAGCTCCCCCGCAGATAAAGAGAATGTTGCTCGTGTCGATTTGCAAAAATTCACCGCGGGGATTCTTACGGCCTGGTTCCTGTGTGACAACATCAAGTGTTTAGCATATTTCCGAAAGAACGTAAAGAAGAGTCATTTTTTTTTGGTTCGTACCTTTGGCACGTTGATGACATTTCCTTCCACAATCTTCAAGAGAGCATGCTGGACACCCTCACCCGAAACGTCTCGGCTGATGCTCACGTTCTCTCCAGATTTGCTGATTTTGTCAGCTTCGTCAATGTAGACGATTCCCCGCTGGCAACGTTCGATATCTTGGCCACTTTCCATGTATAGCTGTAAATTTGTACCCAAGAATGCAGTTGTCAGAAGAGATTAAAAAATCAAGCTGATCCGACGTTTCAAAGCAGTGCGTGATGCGATATACGTACCGATAGCAAAACTGATTCGACATCTTCCCCCACATATCCTGCTTGAGTCAAACAGGTAGCATCTGCAATCACGAGAGGCACATCAATTAATCGAGCAAGCGTCTTGACTAGAAGAGTCTTGCCTGGAAGCAGGAAACGAGCAAGGTGGTGCAGTGTCAGAGCATGTAATTATACAAATCGCTACAATACTCGTAGAACAGAAACCAGACGCACCAGACCCAGTCGGCCCCAGCAAAAGAATATTGCTCTTTTCAATTTCACAATCTTCGACCTCTCTTCCAAAGTCTTCACTCGATATGCTATTGTTGTCGCGTTCTTCGTTGCTGCCGTTGATATCGGGTGTCTCGCAGTATCCTGAGTCCTCCTCGGTGGTATTGTTCCTACCGTCCTTGACGGGGGCCGAGCCGTACTGTCCAAGATTGAGGTCCTGCAAACTGGATCCATCACCTCCCAAGGGAAGAAAGGACGTGTCGGCTCCCTCTTGGGTGGCCATTCGACGCGACTCTGCGGCAGCATTTGCTTCAGCAACAAAGATTCTCTACAATCCGAATAATCAGAACAGCCGTAGGTGCAACATACATGCACAAGAGGCATTTTAGAGATGATAGCAGCAAACGACGAAAGCAGTCGCCCCATTGAAAATGGACTCACCTTGTAATGGTTGTAGACTCCCACACTGAGAGCAATTTTAACCTTTTTCTGTCCAATCACAAATTCATTGAGACCCTTCATAACTTCTTTTGGTGTGGGCATTCGTTTGACTTGTTGATTGAGACTTTCGCCGCCTCCAGCAGCCGCAGCCACGGCTTCGTCATCGTGATCGGCATCACCAGGAACTCCCACATTTGGAGGCATTTGACGTTGGCGGCCGACATAAGTTCGAGGATTATCAGGAGACTGAAGTTGGGTAATATTCCACAAAAAGATGACAGAATTAGAGAAAAGGAACATCACCCCAAGATCGATCTTTGAAAGCGCCGAGAGCCTACCTTTATCATTCCATCGTCTCCTTCTAGTGTTTCCGCAGCCGTGAACCACCCCGAACAAGTGGCACAGTAGAAGGAATTTCCAAATTCATTGTGAGAAAAGATGGTATACGTGCCACATTTTGGGCAGCGATGTCTTCCGCCTCCACCTCCCCCAGACTTTCGCGTCGATGTTATCGGCTTGCCATTCCTATCCACGGAAGATGGCGGCGGATAGGGTTTGTTGTTGGTCCCTGAAGGAGGGTTTCGTCCAGCAACTCCAAAGACATCATGACTGACGTCACCTGCAGCTGCATTGCCAGGATAATGACTCGAAGTTGTTGACATCGAATCGTTGCTGTTCTCATCGCTTTCTCCTCCCCAATGATCACCGTTATCATCTTCGTCGTCGTAGGAGTAGTCATAAGCAACTGCTGGTAAGGGAATGGCTTGACGCCGCAAATCGTGCCGCAGTCCAGCCGTTCCCGAACCATCGCTATCCGTGTTGACAAAACGAATTTGACTCGCACTCTGAGAAGACTTGCCAAAGTGGTGGCGTCGTGCTGCTCTTCCACCCAACTTCCTGGCACCACTCTCCACAAAGGTCTTTGCCTTTAGCGACGCACTACGAAGCATCGAGCTCATGGTTGCTTTGCCAATACGCTTGCAATGATGTACAACTTGTTCTTTGATAATGGAATTATTGTTGTAGCAGCTGTTGTGGCTTTGTTGTCAAGCGAAAAGACCACCTACTTGAGAGGATCAGGTGGATGCAAACAAAATTCTAACACGGCTCAAACCTTAATCTCTTTTGGCTGCTGCATCATGCGTCACACACCTGATGACATCAACCCCAAGAACCAATGAGCCGTTGGCTATCTAGCTAGTGATCAGGCACTGCGAGGAGTAGTTCTTTTATAAGGCATCTGGTATACTGTATCATCTTGTACTATGCCAATGAAAGACTGGCAAAAGCTGCTCTAAGGTTGCAGCAGTCATTTACGTTGCGTGTCCACTTGTGTTGGCTTCCTGGCTACGACGTACTGGCTGGTACTCCAGGGCTCAGCTTCCAGCTCTACCCCTCTGTAGCTGAGATGACACCTTTTCCTCTTGACCACAGACACCCTTTCCTGGAGCTTCCACAGTGAGCTGCATGATTTTACGAACAACTGGATAGATCCTCCACAACTTCGTCATTATCTGTACCGATCGATCGTCGCACGGTACAAGCTGATGGGTAGACCACTCCATGAGCGCCAGGCAAAGGCAATTTTCGTCAACTGCCGCAACGAGCTACCGGTACCACCCCTCTTACCGGTGGCTACGGTAGCAAGCTATTGGAGGGGAACCTGTACCGGTACTAGTACGGGATGAGCAAACATGCATACATTAGTTAGGTCACTATCTGTCACTATCCGGTTAGCAAGTTTTACTCGATGTTGATTTTTGAACTCTGAACCGTCTATTCTGATTCGAAAGGACGCACAGCATCCTTCACTTCGAATCTCAATCCACAATTCTCCATCCTGTCACAATCGATAGCTAGTACTAGCTAGTAGCCTGGAGCTGGAAAGCTTGGCAAGTGTCTGTGCAACTAAAAACATGTGTTCAGCACTTGGCATGCCCCTTAGTAGGACTCTCGAGCCGAGAAAGTAAGGAGGGGTAAAGAAAGATTCAATCTGCATCGGTTTGCAGGAATTTTCTAGCGGAGCGTATGCGAGGCAAGGTCCTCATTTGGTCCCTTGACGAGGAAGCCTTGGGTTCAACACAAACCTTACTAGCTAGTACCGTAGAGTACATCCTATAGAAATGATTCTTTGCAGCAGTGAATCAGAAGAGAGTGTCCGTCAGCTCATTTTCACCGCCTTTCTTTAAAAAATCGCTCAAGAGACGGAGTTTTTGCACTTCTTGCTGATTACTGATGACCACTCCGCCTCAGTTTGACGATGCACGCTGAATTTTTCCTTTGAACGAGCTGAATCCTTGGATACAGCGTACCAATAGCTTCATTGGTTGGATCTTCTCTCTCACTCAGAAAACATTGCAATACTAGAGTAGCTTCATTGGCGGCACTGTCTCTGCCTTGTCCTCGACCAAGGTTTTTCCCGGCACCCCCGAAGGTTGAGGTTTATCTAACGGTCATAAAAACGTTTCTCTTCACCAAGACTAGGGTTAAGCGTATCGTTCGTGGTTAGCAATACCAGGTCACTCTTCTTGTCGTCGCTTTGATGGATCAACCGCATAAATCCGCTCTTCTGTGGTTTTCCAGGGCCTCACCATGCCTTTTGCTCGGGTGGGGGCGATGCCTCCGCCCTCTCGCTACGATGGGCAAGTCTCATCGGCTCCGCAACAGCAGCAGCAAGATGTTGGTGGAAGACCATCGCGTCGTCAAAAAGGAATCACCATGGAGGTAAGAAAATTAGTCGAGGTTTTTTTGGTCTCTGGACGGAAGGGCCCATCATACCGTGGATCTGGTGTTTACCGATCGTAATGGTTTAGGTCAACCGCGCTTCACGAGTTTCCCAGTGCGAGATAACGTTGATTCTGTTTTCGGTGGAAGAGAGATAACCAATTTGATCCGTCAATTCACCACCATGATGAGGTTGTTGGTTCTGGATAAATCTCTCTGGGCATCATGATCTCTGTAGCCGTATGTTGGGCCTTTGGGTTTCTCCATTCTGCTTGGCCATTGTGCGTTCCGAGTGCTTGCGTTGAATAGTTTTCTCACCTAGTTCGCACGATTTGTTGCTGGACTGCCGAAAACAGGACTTGAAAAAGCAAACCGCGATGCGCTTGGCTCAGGAGCATCATCAGGTCCCCCCAGGTGTGCCGAAGACTGCTGCTGTATCGGGAGATCCCAGAACGAGGCATCCTGTAGTGACGCCTCAAACTCTAGCCGCGCGAAGAATTGCGGCGGCTGCGGCTCATGCTCCCAGTACCAGCCGTGACGTGCCGGTTCCTCATTACCAGCGGCTTCACCACCAACAGCAGCATCACAGTAGTCCAATGGTCCATCACATTCCAAATACTGTCGATCCTCCAGGAATGAGCTATGGCGCGTCTCCTCAATATGATCAGGGAGCAAACATCAATAAGAATCCCACTCGCCACAAAAATCCGAGACAGGCCAAATTCGCCGAGATGCAAATGGCTGAACAACATCAGGTAAATTTTCTCTTTCTGTATTTCACGGAGAATGGAACAAAAACGAAGAACTAACGACCCCGTTCCTATCATTCCTCCAGCAATCGATCAATGTAACGAGCAACCGATTCCAACAAGAGCAACAGAGGTCACAATACTCGCGACCTTCGTCAGCCCCTCTTTTGCCCGCCAATCCTCTCTCTTCAAACTCTTCAGCTTACAATTCAGCCGCCGGTAACTTGGGAAGCGGCAATGGCCAATCAAGCTCCACGAGCAAACTCCCTCATGGATTGACTGTTAACGAGCTAAAAGAAATGACGAAAGCCAGATTGCAGGCCGAAGCCGCCGATAAAATGTCCACTTCAACAGGAAGTGCTGTCGTGGAAATGGAGACTCGAGACCCCAGCAGTGCGGGCTTTGATGCAATGCAGTCAAATTATGGACAATCCATGCCAAGCTTAGATAGAAGCGGGCATGTGGTGCCGTCCCAAGTGCACACGAATTCCATGGGTTTCGATCATGGGTCGAGCTTTCGCCAGCCTGCTCAGGTATCCCCCATACCGTCCTCCCTACATGGTTTTGGCCAAAGTACCTCGTCTTCCTCTTTCAACGATACCTTGGCTCAAGATCCGAGCAGAACAGTAGCAGGAAACCGAGGTCGGGTGGACTCTTACCCGGATTCCAACTGGGACAATGCTAGCGTGACATCCCACAATAGCACTGTTGCCTCTGAATATTTGGGCTCAGAATCAGCATTTTCCTCTGGTGTCAACGGATATGGCCAGTTAGATGATCCCTCGGCGATGTCTCTGGGAAGAACCCAATCTTATCCATTGGGAAGCAATGGTCGGTCCACGGCTGTGTCGTCCGAAATGGTCTCGAGAGAAAACACCCCGACGAACTCGATTCCATCTCCGATTGGAACTTCCTACTTTGAGCCCTCGGCTTCTGCGATGAATCAGAACCGACAGCGAGCCATGACGCTGTCACCACGACCAGGCTTGTCTCTGTTGCACGAAGACCGTCCCGGGTTTTGCGAGGATGAGCTGGGAATTCCTTCCTTCTCTTCAGGATCTCGTCATGCACGTCAGCAATTGACTGCTCGATCCAGGAGGAGCTTCTCACCCATCTTGCAACCCCAAGCGTATGCCAGTGATAGCAGTCTCGGTGCTGGAGGGAATTATGGAAGCAACAACAACTTGCCCGGCGGGGTTCTTGGAGGCAACATCATGGAGAATCGTCCCAGGACATCCTCCACTGCTTCTCTGCCAGCGATTTCGCACACTGCAGAAGAGTTTGCGTTGGATGGCCATGGTACGTCTCGCAGGTCATCTGACAATGTCACTATGAGAGGACCAACCATCAGTGAGCATTCGGCTATTCATAGTGGCGGAGACGCGTTATTGGGATCATCCAGCATTTACGGTAGCGGTGTTGACGGACGATCACACCAGACGTCCTCTGTCTTCCGAAACGACTATGGTGGCATCCCTGCTCCTCCTGGACTTGGTCATGACAACATTGGCATGCCAGGATCCGGACACAACCCGCTAGTTCCAAGAGCAGGGAGCCTCGATGGCATGGGCAGCAATAGAGTACGCGCTTCTACGTGGGCCGCTGCTCCCGCTTCGGACATGTTTGGATCCAGCAGTGGATTGTACGATTACAACGGCGACGACACTCTGGCTGGCGACTTGGCTTCCATCTTGAAGTTGTCCGGTGCCGAGGAGAAGCCGGATGCCGATCGCTCGGGCATGTTGTTCAGTGACATGCCTTCTTCATTTCTCGGGAGGTCGTGAGACTTTTCGATGGTAGTGATTCATGTTGTCGAGAAGATCAAGGCTCAGGGTCTTTTTCTTTGATATGATAGATTATTTGCAGAACGCATGGCAGGTGGCCGCTGCGCAAGTGTTATTGGTGACGTTTCCATTTGATGGATGGATGTTGCTGCTTACCGGTACCTTGTCAATTTATATTCATGTTTCTTGGTGAGTTATACGTGTTTCTACGGGAAGTGTCGGGGGTCATGTGCTTGGTCTACAAATCATGATCAGTGAAACTCGTCCCACTGTGGGTTGAAAGTTTTTGTGGTGATAGTTCAGTGGTTGACCTTCGAACCATCTGGTGCTGTAATATGACCTTTTGCCCAGGTCTTGTCCCAATCTATGGAATAAACTTTATATTTTAAACTATTGCGTTGATTAGTATCGAGCTCGTTACTGGACCCTGGCTAGTGGTTTCGGTTGTCGAAATACGTACGGTACGACTGTAGTCTCCGAGTCTGCTGAGCTTTACTGGCGCTCCAAGGAACTCAGGCGTCATCCAGTTCAATTATTTCCTTCTCTTAGCTCGCAAGAACTTAGTCTCCGAGGCTTTTAGTTCTGTGGGCTTTGCTGCTGGGGATCCCGAAGGTGGGCTCCAAAGCAACACCTCGTCATCATTTAAAGCCTTTCAATCAATGATTGCCTTCTCTAGCTAGCTAATGCGTGAATCGTTCTGAAGGATCACAGATAAGGGATCCAGTTGCTTCAAGGAGCTCACTGCTGACCTGTTTGCCCGTAGGCAAAGATGCAGACCGGAAACCCGTCAATGGCGCTTTGAATGAGAGGCGCAACTCCCTCCCAAACATCTTCTTGTGCACTAGAGGGCGAATAGACATTATCAAAAGGATAGCGCCACACTTTTCGGCGGTCACTGAGGCCACCCCTGCCTTTTGCTGGCTCTTTGATCTCAATGACACGTTTGGTGAGGTCTTCACTCTCCTGAGGAGAGTGGGCCTGGGACTCGACATTGCGCAACTGGTTTGACAAAATTTGATCAATTGCTTCGGCAGCGCTGACGAAGCTCGATGTCGCAAAACTTGTAACGGATGTTAATGTTAGATATGTAGCTACCAATATTGATATAAACCACCCAAACCAAAAGCTGCTGCTGCATTGTGTGGGGCATTATTCCAAGTATGGTCGATGATGGCTCCAACACACCTGCCTTCAGGACAGTTTTGAAAAGGACCTGGTTCTATGGTACCGGTACGAGTTGCAGACGAACACGCATCTTTCCTATCCGTAAAGAGACTACAGTTTCTGCTGGAAGCACCACAGCCTAAGAGTCGAGCATGAATTGAACAGCTCGTTCTTGGGTTTCAATGGAGAACTTGTGGAGGTCACAGGAACGGATTGTAGCAACATCAACTTCATCCTTCTCTCCTGACCAGTCCGGCTTTCTCCGTGCATTTTCCTTCACGAAGGCCCTGGACAATGCCTTGGCCAGCGACAGGCGAATAGTGTGCAGTAGGTCTTCTGGAATGGGATGTAGCTTTTCCAACTCCAAACTCAACGGGATGACCGCAACCTGCTCCAATAGAGCCTGCACACCTTGCACATCAAAGGATGAGCAGTAGTCGTTCGGCTTGGCCAAAGGGATGCGTCTTTCGTCTTCTTCAATCACACGCTGTCCCAGCAAGAGCAAGCCGTAATGCAGACATCGAGGAGCTGTCGTAGTAACCGCACCAGAATCATACTCGTTGGGTTTTTCTTGCAAAAGCAGTTTGATATTGGTGGCCACAGGAGTCCAATCAGGAGAGTCATTTGACAATCTTTCGTAGATACCCACCATGAGTTCCAATGTCTGCACCTCGAGCAGCTTGGCAACGTATCCCTCTAGAGGTCCCTCTTTGAGGGACTTTACCATTTCCTTGGCTGTGGCATTGACTCGACCCACTCCTTCCCTCTCCTCCAGAATTCCCAAGAGGAGCGCTCCGGCAACACGAACGCACCATGAAATGATATAGCGATAGCATACACTCGTGGCTTCAATGCTTTGCCAATCATGGACTTCTCCGTCACTCTCACGACAAAGCATCGATTCCAATTCCAGACCCACCAACAACCAGTGCATGGCCCCACCAGGGGTATCACTATTCAAATGGCTTCGATAGCGGAACAAGACCAAACCGACACACCCGTCCACAATCCGTTCGCTTTTCTTGTCCACCAGTTTTTGACATAGTGAGATGAGGTTACGTGCTTCTACATCATTCCCAGGAGTATGACGTTCCAGAATTGCAGCCATGGTCGCCACAATGCTGACATCACCCTTGGGTGTAGCAAAGGGAAGTAGCAGGCGCACAACCATGCGTGTGCCAATGTCCGCATTCGGCCCCGCCAGAGACGAAGTAATGGCAAATGCTGCCGTTTTCAAAAGGTCCATTTGCAATGGCTTTGGTAGCTGGAGCCCGGCGTCCAGGTACAAGTTGCAGAGCAGTGATGTCTGAAGAGAGGTAGAGGGGGGAAAATGAGGCTGCTTGTGTTGCGAGGAAATCACATTGACTAACATATCGAAAATCTTACCACAGTAGCCGGCAATGCCGCTCCACTGGCGCCTCCAAAAGCAAATAGTGATTCCATGACCCGCCCCGAACTTCCCTGCATGATGCTCAAAAGGACATCATCCATCTGTTCGTGAACAGGCGGATACTTTTGCATAAGTTTTTCCGCTCGCACTTGAATGTTGCCAGGAACAATGGTTGGATTGACGTAGATCAATTCCGCCAGGAGCGCCTCGGCCCAATTGTCGAATACAGCTTGCTTGATATTACCACTTAGAATTTTCAAAATTCCGTCCAATTGTGGAATTTTGCGTGCCAATCGATGGACCGATTCCAAATCGAGGACGTACTGTTGCCATGCGTGTCGTTTGGTGGATGCGGCTCGTGGATTGTAGTGAACGGGAAAATCTGTTCCTTCCAAAGTTGTGTCGCTGGTTTCCCACAACTGATAATCGGTTGTGGAAATCCCCTCCAGCAGGGTTTCTTCGCGGGGTCTGTTGTTGTGTTTGGCATCCAAACCAGCATCGTTCGCATCATCTCGACCTCCTGGCAAGGGAGCACTGAGCAACAGCCGTTCTAGATCCTGAAAGGCTTCTCGATCTTTTTCCAACAAGAGTGCTTCGTCGCCGTCGTCATCCATGTCGTCTCGGCTTCTCATGGCTCGTTGGCAGGCTGAATGACGGGAGAGCAAAGCCCATGCCTGTTCTAAATTTCCGTGTTTGACAAGAGTGTTCAACAAGAGCCAGTAGGGTGCTCCGTCATCGACTTGATCTGGGTGGAGCGAATCCATCAATTCCTGCAGGACGTCCGGATCGACCATTTGCAAGGCTGGGGCGGTGTGATGATGTCGCAAATAGCGGACCGTATCGGCCGTCAAAGCTCCCGGAATGGAAAATGCGTCGGCGTAATAATCCAAACTACTGGTCATTTCGGGAGGTGGTGGAAGAATAAAGATTTCCGAGAGATGCGTAATCGCATAGACCAACTTGAGCATTTCCAAATTTTCCTTGTCCAAAGCGGGTTGTTGCATATTATTATTGCCCTCCGTCATGGAGTTGTCATTGTTGTTCTCGTCCATTTCAATCCAATGATCTTCCCATTGCACCAAACATTCTCGCAGAGCGGCACGGTACGCCTTGGAGAGTGTTTTGAGAGTATTCCAGGATTTGCTGACCGATGGCGTGAGCTCCGAATGAGCCTGGTGGGCATCCAACAATTGCATCAAGGCCGAAACCTCATGTTCGTTACAACCCACTCCAGAATGCGACAACATGGTGTTGATTTGCATGGCGACGACTCTTGCCTCATCTTGTTGCTGGCTTGGGACTTGAATGGCCCGAGGCAATACCAATGCCGACGGATTCTTGGGATCCCAGGCCATGCCAAAGGCTGATGGAGACGTGGACATGGCTCACTTCGTACTAGTTCGTATCTTGCAGTAAGCACTCAAAGGAAGAATAGCCAATGCTGTACTCTCCTCACATGCAGAGACTACCGGTACCGTACTGCACGATAGCTGTGGATATACGTATTGTAGCCAAGAGGAGACGCTTTGGCTTTTTGGCTGGCTGAATCGATCGAATCGAGGGTTGCCAACCAAAGTTTGTCGTTCGTCTGCTGTGTGCGATATTGGCGGAGGATCCAAATCGAACCGACGATCAATGCAATTCGAATGACATTCGGCTCGATTCGACTCGACTCGATTCGATTCATCGTCATCTTCTGAATTTACACCTGTGCCGTCGTCTCCAGGCCCCACTCCTGATCCAACAAAAGGATCAACACAAGGAAAACTTCAGGACCTTCACACAAGGAACAGCAGAACCCACTCCTGGACTTTCTCTTGGTGGTCCATCCCCAGGCCTGAATCCTGTCTCCTGGTCCCACCCACTCTGGACATGCCCCACCCCTCCACCAACTCCAGGGGCCACACCCAGACCCAGACTTACTTCAGGACTTAGCCCCCTTGAACCATCATCACGCCCACTCCTGGCTCTCACACGACGCCCCGACGATGTACCCTGGCCCCACTTGCAGACCAACTCCAGGACCAAGACATGGACTAACTCTGGACAGGGCAGGGGCACATGATCAGATCAGACAAGGGAGGGGTCCAACAAAACCTAGCAACAAAACTCGAAATCAGCGAACTCGGTGGGACACACGTAGTTTCTGCTCTAGTAGACTAGTTTTAGGAATTGGTATCACAGAGGATCTAGCTGTTAATAGTTAGACCTACAATACCGTGTACTAAGAGTTATCTTCCTGCATCTACCGTAGCTAGACTGTGCTGTTAAGCGTCACAACATGACTACTGTACCAAGCATGCAGTCAGAAAGTCTATAGATTCTTATCCTTGGCGGCGTTGAGTGCCAGAACCCTCTTTTGTTCATCCATCTCCTCCTCTTTCTTTCGGTTGCGAACATCAGCTTGAGCGGCAGCAACTCCGTACAGTTTCTTGAACAAGGCAAAACGAGCTCCCTTATCCCAGTCACTATTGAGTAATCCGTAGAGCACGCTGTCTCTACTGGAGTCTTTGACAATCATGTGCTTAAACACCGTGCCCTGTGTAGACAGTGTTGCCAAAAGAAAAAGACATCAGCACAACCTGTCCATATAATCTTTGGAGAATCATCCAATCGACTATAGCTAGCAACAACAATAAAAACTTACCTCCAAAGTGTATCCCAACCGCAGGGCCAATTTCCGCGCGGGTGCGTCCTGATGATCCATTGACATTTGGCAGCGACGGTATCCGAGCGCAAAGAGTCGATCCAACAACAGATAACACGCCTCGAGTTGTTCCTGACTGCCATCCATGGTGGGACGCATGATGGGTGGTTCCAGTTGAATTCCCAAATTTTGAGGATTGTCGTTTGTGAGGAGTACCACTCCCACCAATTTGTCGGTAATGTTGTTGATAATGGCAAAGGCAGCTTCATTGATTTTTCGTTGAAAGACAAATGATTTGGCAAGTTCCTGTTTGTTGCGAAAGGGTCCTTCTTCTAGGAATCCCCATACTTCTTCTGGATCATAGGATTTGGTTTCCAGATCGGGAGCCCCCGACGTCAAGTCAAAGACCTGGTTCAAATGCCGGTCTGGTTCGAGTGCTTCCAGTCGCACTAGTTTGCCAATGATATCCTGAGGACGTTCTTTGAATAGCTTGGAGTATTTGTCGTCTGTTTTGTGATTATCGCAGGATACCGCTTCGTAGACACGAGCATAGGAGCGCCGATAGGAGAGGTTGGTGTAATTGCCACAAGCGGCAAACCCTCGAGCATAGGCTTCATAGCGAGCTTCTGGTTGTCCCGTCAATGCCGGTCCTGTTATCAAAAAGAAAGAGAATCAAAAAGTCAGTCTCACAGCACAAATTAAAAAAAATGACAATGCGTCAATCATGGACTGTCATACTACTCACCACCAGGAGCATCTTGACATCGGCGATACGCCACTTCATAGTTGGCCTGATAGCCTGGGGGGAACTGTCTCTTGACAGCACTACTACTGGTCCTAGGGTCTCCATCCTTCTTTTCATCGTCCTTGCTGGAATTTTCCACAATGGTGCCATGTTCGTTCAAGAGTAATTGAGTTAAATTGGAGAGCATTCCCTCCTTGACCATCAAGGGTGGATAAAATTTGGCCATTCGTTCTCTCGCGTCTAGTAATCGCTCCAGCAAGAGAGCTCGTTCGGATCGGATCATGTGAGAGTGTACAACCGTGACATCTCCTTCTTCTTGTTCGGCTATGCGCTGAAAGGAACCTCCAAATGCGAGCAAGCAGAGGACGGCGCCAATGGTGCCGGCAAAGGTCAGACAGCCAAAGAGAATGCCGTAGCGTTGCGCCGTCGGCATGTGCAGCAAGCCAAACGCGTCCAACAAGTTCTCCCAAGAACCAAACATCTTGTTCAGGTCGCCAAAGGCTTGGAACAGCTTGTCGATATCGCTACTGCTGGAGGCCATGGTTGCTCTCTTATTCTATTTCCAATCAATCAACAGTTCTCCAAACAAAAAATAAATGATCTCTCTCGGCATTTTTTTAGACCTTCGAATACGATCGATTTGGTTTGAAAATCTTTCGCAAAATGGGGTTAAAGTTAAGGCTAAAAGTGAAAAGCAAGATCCTCTTTGATCGGAAAACTCGACCATGGCGCAATAACCGCCACACCAACCAAAATCGCGTTCGGTTAGACTATATTCGGTTTCGCCCCCAATCATTGATCCATCTGACGATAAAGATAGATAGGAAGAAACCATGGTTCGCAGGGCCAACAATTCACGACGGCAGCTGAAGAACCCAAGAAGTGGCGGTCAAAAGGGGGGAGGGCTTTTGACATCGACGCAATTCATGATGCTGACCGTCGGCTTTGGAGCCCTGTTTCTGGCACTGAATATATACCATCTCATGCCAGCGGCTGGGTTGGTTTTGAACAACAATCCTGTGGCTTCAACAACAACCGCTGATGAAGGAGAATCACCACCACCTGGTGCTGCTGCCCAAGAAAGAAAAATTCAGTCAGTGGATTCATCAGTGGGGGCACTATCATCACCACTCCGAGGAGATGGTGTCCAATATCACGTCGTTTTCTCCACGGGATGTTCACCCAAGCAAAACTTTCAGTCCTACATTTTCTTCTTCCATGCCATGAAGAGCCAACAACCGGGAAAAGTCACACGGATTGCTGCCTGTGAAGGTGACACTGAGGCGGATGCATTGAGAGCACATCACAAGGAATTTGTTGAGCCCATGTCTCCCAATTTTCTACTACATATCACCCCCGATTATAGTCGTATCAAAAAGGATGGAAATACGTATCATTACTGTAAGTACACTAACCAAAAGAGCATGCCAAAAATACTATTCTTCTGTGAGAAAGGATCTCAAACCACCTCTTCTTTTTCTATTTCGTGCACAGTCAATAAACCTTTCAGCACACATCACTGGATGGAAAATGCCCTGGGCTACACACCAAAACACAAAAATGTGGGCGATAACAAACACGACAATGCCATCGTCATCTTATGTGATCCAGACCAAGTTATCATGAGACCTTTCACCAAAAACACTTTCCTCAACAACTCCAAAGTTTGGATGAAACGAACCACACATCCCATCATTGACCATGTTGACCATGGAGCACCAGCTGGACAACTATATGGATTCCAAGATCAATGGAAAACAAAAACAAATATTACTCGATACGTACCCAAAGACGAATTGCCATCTTACGTACAAACCATGTCGGACGCCGAAATGAGAGAAAATTATGCTGTCGGGCCACCCTACATGGCCACAGCTCACGACTTTTATACCATTGTCACTCGATGGAAAGACTTTGTGCCATTGGTACACGACGATTATCCACACTTGCTGGCAGAAATGTTTGGGTACTGTCTCGCCGCCGCGCATTCGCGTCTCCCACATCAAGTGGCCAAAGGATTCATGATCTCCGATGTGGCATCCTTTGGGAATGAAGGCTGGCCTATGATGGAAAAATACACCGTACGAGATGTATGTACGCCAGGAGCCATTGCTCCGCAAGATACACCCAACATTCTACATTACTGCCAACGATACACGCTCGGCAAGTTTGTCATTGGAAAACATCGCATCCCATTGACATTTCTGGGCTGCGAGGATCCCCTGCTCACCGAACCACCGCCCGATATTGGGGAACGGTTCAATTTCTTTTTCGAACCAGATAGAAAAGAAGAAGTCAAAAAGAATTTGCCACAACCAGTCATCAAGCCTAATGCTTACATGTTGTGTCACCTGATACCCTATTTGAATGAAGCTGCAACGTACTGGAAAGATCATCACTGCGAAGGAAAGACACCCAACAAGGAAAAGACACTCAAGTGGTTCGACAACATGGAGGTTGCACCGCACTTTTTTGAGGACAACTAGCCTCGTGTAGTCATCGATTGATTGATTGAGAAAGCCGTGTGGTTGGCTGCCTACTTGCTAACTGGGGGTGGTCCGCCTCTTTTTCATCAAGGCTGTTCGAAGGCGGGACAAGCGTGTTCGATTTGGATGTGTTCTCGGGTGCTTCGGGTGAAACCATGCAGTACCGTAGCCGAGAACGGTCACAGTTGGGGCGAATTGCCGATCCCGTCTACAGACGATTTAATGAAAGCATCTGCGGGAGAACTGCCAGCTGGCCGCTCTAGTAGCGTTGAAGTCTACGCGTGCACATGCATAGGAGTAAGGCAGGTACATGCATGTACCCCAACACCCGCGCACTTCTTTGACGTAGTAATATCATCACCAAAGCCTAAACGGCTGGACTCACTCGTGCAGCACTTTCTTGGTAGTATCCCCGACGTACGGTATCTATATTACTACGACAATATGGTTTGCTTGCCCTAATATTTGCTACCAGGTACCGGTAGCATCTGAGATAGATCACATTGAAGCAATCCCTTCGAACGAGTTTCGTCAGGTGGCGATAGCGGTACGGTACACCGGCAGAAGGGGTGCAGTTGAGAAGTTCGGGGGCTGACCGGGAAAGGACGTGATCCATCAGAATCGAATCCGACTTCGCAGTGGACTCATTTACCTTTTCAGAGATCGGAAATGAAAAGCAGCCTGAGTTACTGTTCCCGTCTAGCTAGCTAATTGATACTATCCAAAATGCACTACAACAAAGACGAGTACAAGTATCATCAACTCAACGCCCAGCTTGGCCACTCATAGTATTGAAGTTTCCCAAGATTCTAGTAGAGGCAGCCTTATGAGGAACTATCCATTCCACACAAAATGATTCGATTCAAATGTTTGTTGCGTATTTCGTGGTTTTTTGTTATCTGAGTTTGTAGATTGCAATGAGTAATTGTGCAGCTGTCAAGCCAGATTCAATTCCAAGGGATATTTCGAGGCCAAAGTGCATTCCATAATAGTTTTGGTAGCATTGGCTTCCATTCTGTTTGAAATTATTTCCCTTTGGACATGCCTCCACCATACATGGAGTTTTCCACCCCCGCATCTTTGTACTTTGCTTTGCCAAAACTGATTGGCACGTATCTATGCCTGTACATGTGCATAATTTGTCGCCTCATGGTCATGAAGAATAGGACGAAGAAGTACATCAATAGGATGGGCCAAAAGACGGGTACGTCAAAGATGGAGAAGAAGGTCATCATAAGACAGGTACCGGTCCCTTGGGTACATGCCAGCCAAAACTTGAACTCGGGAAGTCGACGTGTGAACGGTCGATACTCTTTGGCTTCTCGGTTTGTGGATGGCAAACCGGGTCCATCGTCCACTGGATCCTCCAGTGGAGACAAGAAAGCAATGAAATTATTCAAGAGGAAGATTCCCAATCCGTAGGCGACAATGAAGTATCCTTGCAGCAGGTAGACTCGAATGAAAAAGAGGGCAAATATCACTGCGAAGCATACCCACCTTGGCAAAATATGAATCGTAGATTTGTCCAGCCAATACTGAACCGCTCGTTTGACTGCGATATCGCATGATTGTGGTATTAATAGTGTTCGCAGTTTGGGTTGGTCATTGTAGTAATAGTAACATCAGCAAGAAAGGGGGAGAAATACGAGGGAAGCGACGTTTGGAAAGGTGAGAATATACCAAAGATATTAATCAGTGACTCGACGTCAAAATACCATTATCCATTGCCACAAAGCGCCAAGATAACAACGATTGACAGCATTCGCGTAGCAAAGTCGTATCCAACCAACCAACCAAAGATCCACCCATCCCAAAGCGTGCGAACAGTTAACCTTAGACTCACAGGTTGCAGATTGCTGCTCGAAGGATCTGCTGCCACCAGCATCGTCATCCATTCCTTCCATCATTGTTGTGTTTCTATCCCAAGTAGATAGCTATTAATTACGTCGGGAGCTCGCAACTCGTGGGTCTGCCTCGTCTTCTTCCTTCTTGATCAACGACGATCGGCAGCAGGCAGCAGCTTTGGGCTCCCAATGTTTTGACGGGATGCAGGACAGGTCATTTTCATCAAACCGCACAGAGAAATCTAACCCTAACTTCTCCAATTAAAACAGCTTTGCTGGCTAGGTACCTACTAGCTAAATTACTACCACAATTAATTTGACATAATGGGTGGCAAAAATTGAAACAGAGGGTCTGGAACTGCATGGTGCCAACAGTGGGGCTGCCCACCAGCAACTCATTCAAAGCTTGGATCTTGCATTGCACCAAAGATATGATTTGGAAATCCTTCTCACTCTTTGAAGCACAATTAGTAGCCCAAGCAAAGCAACCAAGAGCTTGCCATTAGGAGGGACCAAGTCCCGCCAGCAGCAGCAACCAATGTATGAAGACAAGCATGAGGAATAGGCAACAATTACAACAATGAAGCCACCAAAGATTTCATGGGGAGATTTCTTCCTCAAAGCATTCAAATCCACCTCTTTGATCCATCAATTTTCACTGGTGCAGTCAACTGCAGCTGCTTCTGTTGTACCTGAATGCGCTCCCATGTGGAGGGATTATGGCTGCCTTGCTTAATTAAGGGTTCAGTTAGAAAAGGCATCAGATTAGACACAATCAGAAAAGACCTTCGAGTGAGCTATCATCAACTTGAAGCCTAGTGGTGGGCCTTTTGCTCACAACATTTCGCAGGTCAAACTGCCTGGAGCGAAAGGGGCATGTGAAGTATTCTCTGCCAATGAACTTGCTTGGCCATGATTTATGTTTCTCTTCTCATTGAGAATTGCACTTCTCTCTGACAATGCTAATTATGCGAATATTCGGTTCAAATTGGTCTTTGCGTATTCCATTTGTTGGTTGGGTATTCAGTGCTGGGTTGCACTGTTCCTCAATTCCATACAAGCCTCCAAAAAGAGCTCCAAGGCAAGCGACCGTCTTGCACAATCTCTGCTATCCTCCCTCCAAGGCATGCTGTGATATGCTATGCAAGTCTGCGTACTCTAGCGTACTCTAGCTAGCTAGTACCAGTACCGAATCTATCAACTTTTCACTCGATTGAAGTTCTCAACTGCATGACCACGATCCACAGCCCTTTGGATGCTTCCTTTCCAGATCCTCCTTCTAAAGAACATGTGCCTGTACAAGTCTTCAAACTGTTCACAGCTTTGCTCGAAAGAATCTCCCGCCAAATGTACCATTGGGATGTCGCGTCACAAGTTGCCGTGTGATCTCGTCGACTGACCGGCATCCACACAAGGCCATAGCGGCTTGGGTTTCTTGCTGGAGCATTTGCAGCGTATTGAGCACTCCCTGCTGACCCTCCACGGCCAAGGCGAAGAACATGGGTTTGCCAATACCCACAGCAGTGGCTCCGAGTGCCAATGCCTTGACAACATCAGTCCCTCGTCGAATGCCGCCATCCAACAATACAGGCGCCCGTCCCGCCACAGCATCGACCACCTCGGGAAGAGCATCAATACTGGCCAAACAGGCATCGAGTTGTCGTCCACCGTGGTTGCTTACCATGATCCCATCAGCGCCAGCTTGCAGGGCTAGCTGTGCATCTTCCGCTGTCATTACTCCTTTTATTATGAGGGGTATTGGTCTGCTGTGATGTTGTCCAGCAATTGCATTGATTTGATCTTTGAGCCACCGGACATCGGCCCAGGATAGGTTTTGTTCAAACATCAGTTCCGAGTTTTGATCCCATGCCTTGTGTTTTGCTCCATTGTAAGTTTGTTCCATGGAGCTGCCACTGCTATTGTTGGATGTGGATTGCACCGATGACGTGTTGGGTTCATCGTAGTTAACCAATCGGTGAGGGGCTGGAAGGGCGTTGAAGCTGAAGATTTCGCAGAATAATAGCATGGGTGAGATCCAAAACGAAAGTATCAAGTTTCCAACAGGGTTGGCACTGATGGCAACGGTCCCGTCGCGACAGATTCTCCTGCTCACCCATTGCGAGCATCAGCTTCTCGGTAGCCAAATCTGACAGAGTCCACTGTCAAGAATATACCTGATGAGGATGTGAATGCCCAACCAAGTGAGTACATGATTAGCTGAACCAAGATCAACAATGATCCGAATTATTGGCTCCATCAGACTAGATGCCGAATCACCTACCTTGGTACCCTGCACGAATAGCTCGTTGCACCAATCGCAGCGTCAGTTGTCGATCTTTGAGAATGTACGCCTGATAGAACTTGAGGCAATTGGGAGCTGCTTCTTGCACTTGCTCAATGGATCGCGTCGAGTGCTGCGAAAGTCCAAATAGGATTCCCATTTGTTCACATGCCTTGGCCGTGGCGCATTCGCCTTGTTCTGGTTCGCAGAGGGCATGGACTCCTGCTGGCGAACAAAAAACGGGCATCTTCATGGTATGCCCAAAGAGTGTCACGACAGTACTGAGATCCTTGACAGGTCTCATAACACGTGGGCGAAGATACCAATGCTTGAAAGCTTGTATGTTTTCGGCCAGTGTCTGTTCATCGTCTGTTCCGGAAGCGAGGTATTCGTAGAGTGCCTTGGGTAGCTTTGTCTTGGCGACTATCTGATAATCGTTCACATTGCTGATGAGCGTCATCTTGATCTTGGTGATAATGGGGGTTGTTGGGGCGGTCAGTGCAAACAACAAGAGGAGATCTGAAGTCGGAAGTGATGGCGTGTGCATGGTGTGCATGATGCTTTGAAGATTGGGAAGGGGGCCCGTGTTGGATGGAGATTGGTGATGTTGACCACGTCAGTAATTAGGGATATTTTTAGGGGTAATCAATTCCGGAGTTTTCTTCTCTCTTCGCTTCTCAAACTTCTGCTGTTCCGCCTCAAAAAGAAAAGAAGGCCCTGGCATCATCGCGGGAAAGGCCGGTGGAAAAGGTGGGATTGTCCTGTCATCATTCTTCTCCAACTCCACCAACGTGTTGGTCATTGCTATTGAAGAATATAAGCTGCCATCCCAAGCTTTGAGAAAGCCTCCATCCAAACAGTTATCATCATTGCAGCGTTTAGTGATTGCCTCCGCTGGATCGAAGACTTGGAGGACGAAAGGAAGTTGTCGCTTTTCTTCTACCCTTCTTTTAAAATTTGGAGTTCGGCTCTCGCCCCTGCTTGTTTCCTCCATCTGCAGTAGCAAACATTCGAAAGCAACAATGCCGCCTCGAGAAGCAGAGAATGCAGAGGCTGAAATGTCTGCAAATGAGATGAGCTCCTTGCTTGCTTCTAGTAGTAGCAACAACATGCAAGTGTATCACGACCAGCAGGTCACTCTGGCTCAAGCACGACGACTGCTCTATACGTCGCATTTGTTTGCGCAATTCTCCGAAGTGGCCTGGCAATTTTGTCTGATTCTGTTCTTGGCAGCCTTTACCAATTACAATTCTCTCATGCTGGTATCTACCTATGGATTGATCTCCCAGGGATCCGTGGGACTTTTTGGAGCCAAGGCGGGACGCTTTGTGGATGACATTGCACACAGTCGCCTCTTTGTGGCACAACGGTTCATTCTGACGGAAAACCTATGCGTTGTCTTGGCCAGTATCTGCTGTTATCTATTGTTGGCAAGTACGGCTCTCGACAACAACGGTATGCAACGCTCCATTGAAGATCCTTCTGATCAAGTCGCTAGAATTAGCAATACCTGGTTGGCACATAGATTGAATGGCATTCCATTGGACTCCACGTCGGTGTTGTTATTGGTAGGCATTCATATCTTGGGGTCCATTGCCAATCTTCTAAACAGTGGATTCTTGGTGGCCATGGAACGAGACTGGATCGTTGTCATGAGTCAATATGCCAGCAAAACATTCCATATCAACCACAACAACAATTACAATGATGCACCCATGGACACTGTCAGTAGGGAATGGTTGTCAAAGACAAATGTGACAATGAAGCAGATTGACCTGAGCTGCAAGGTGGTTGCTCCTGCTGTAGCGGGGTTTCTGATTGCTGCCTTTGACAATCAAGATGGTGGCAGCAATCACAGCGACTTGAGAGGGGCGGCAGTTCTGGTGGGGGGCATCAACATGACTGCACTGATCGTGGAGTACATTTGCACAGCACGAATTTACAAAATGCTTCCAGCACTTGCCATTAGGAAGGACACCAAATGCCAGCAACCAACAACAAGTGAAAACCAGGATGAGGAACAGGCAGCAGCAACAACGAAAATAGAGCCACCAAAAGATTCCAAGTGGAGATTTCTTCCTACCAGTGTTCAAATATACCTCGATCAGCCTGTTTCCATGGGTGGAGTCAGTCTAGCACTCTTGTACCTGAATGTGCTCTCATTTGGAGGAATCATGACTGCCTACCTTGTTTGGAGAGGCATGAGATTAGACACAATTGGACTTTGGAGAGGGGTGTCGTCTGCTGTGGGACTTATGGGGACATTTGCCTACCACTTCTCCGTAAAGCGTACCACCTTGGTCAAGACAGGCATGTGGAGTATTGCCTACCAATTCACTTGTCTGACCATGAGTTACGTCTCTCTTTTCATTGAGAACTACACTTTATCTCTGACAATGCTAATTCTGGGAGTCTGTACCAGTCGAATTGGACTTTGGGTATTTGATATTTCCATTACACAACTGTGGCAGGAGTATACCCCGGATGGTATTCGAGGTGTTGTGGGAGGAGTCCAGCAGTCTTTCAATGCCTTCTTCACACTCGTATCCTTTGGGCTGGGCATTGTGTTCCCTGATCCCAAAGATTTCTACATCTACGTAGCGGTTGGGTACGTTAGTGTTGGTGTGGCGTTGCTTCTCTATACAACCCGAATTTACGCCAAAAAGGACTCTTTCACGTCCACGAATATATGAGCTCATCATCATCAAGAACCTTGACAAGTCCAAGGAAAAGGAAAATTTTTGCACAGCTAGATATTTTGATACAATACATATACCAGTTTCTATTCTTAGTGTGTCTGTCTAGCTAGCTTGTGTCTTTTCTTTCTACATTCGAAAGACTCCAAACTTGGTTTCGTTAGGTTCGCAACCAGCTCGTCGAGCAACGGCAAGAGAGCATCCCAGAACCATCCTTGTGTCAGCAGGGTCGATGATTCCGTCGTCCCAGAGTTTGGACGTAGAGTAGTAGGCCGATCCCTCACTTTCGTACTTTTCTAGAATGGGACGTTGAAAGTCAGCCTCTTCTTCCTCGGACCAGGTTCCGCCGCGGGCTTCAATGTTGTCGCGTTGCACGGTGGACAAGACATTGGCTGCTTGTTCTCCACCCATAACGGAAATGCGAGCTCCGGGCCACATGTAGAGAAATCGGGGACCAAAGGCTCGGCCGCACTGCAGTGGGTGGCATGGATTCAATAGTTGGTGAGCATTCCGCAGAAGCCATCACTGAAGAAAGGTGAAGGAAAAAATTCACAAACAAACCACTACATTGATTGGTACTCACCATTCCATAGTTTCCCGCTCCAAAACTACCTCCCAGTATAAGAGTGAGCTTTGGAACTTTTGCTGTTGAAACGGCTGTGACAAGCTTGGCTCCGTGCTACCATACAGGGGATTGTGCAGACAGCAGCAAACAATTTGGTTGAGACGGCAAGATTTTCCGTTTTGTTGCAGTATTACGTTGACATGACATACCTTGGCAATCCCTTCATGTTCGTATTTTTGTCCCACCATAAAGCCGGTGATGTTTTGCAGAAACAAGATGGGAATGCCTCGTTGACAGCAGAGTTGGACGAATTGGGCTCCCTTTTGAGCACTCTCGGAAAACAGAATCCCATTGTTGGCAATGATTCCTACATCCTGTCCCATGATTTTTCCAAAGCCCGTAACGAGCGTTGTTCCAAAGTTAGATTTGAATTCGTGGAATCGAGATCCATCCAAAATACGGGCCAACACCAATCTGACGTCTACGGGCTGTTTCGGATCGATGGGTAGGACACCACCCAATTCTTTTGGGTCAAAGCGTGGTTCCTCCCATCCCTCGGTGGCGATTGCAGAGGCGTTGTCGGCAGTACCGGTGCCCAAACTGGCCATGATATCTCGAGTAATCCTCATTGCTTCTTTTTCATTGGCAGCTCGATGATCTGCGACACCAGATGTTCCTGTATGAACATGTGCTCCCCCCAAATCTTCGGCCGAGACGGTTTCGCCCGTGGCCGCCTTGACCAAAGGAGGTCCTCCCAGAAAGATGGTTCCATTCTTTTCGACAATCACCGTCTCGTCACTCATGGAGGGGACGTATGCTCCTCCAGCTGTACAGGAACCACAGACGACGGCAATTTGTGGAATATTGCGACTGGACATGGTAGCTTGATTGAAGAAAATTCGTCCAAAATGGTCCCTGTCCGGAAATACATCCGCTTGTTTGGGCAAATAGGCTCCACCACTATCGACGAGATAAATGCATGGGAGTTTGTTTTCCAATGCAATTTCTTGTGCCCTCAAGTGTTTCTTGACTGTAATTGGGAAATAGGTACCCCCCTTGACAGTAGCATCATTGGCAATAATCATGGCCATTTTCCCCGCGACCATACCAATGGCTGTGACGATACCTCCACTGGGAATAGGTTCGTCTGTTTGCATGGCTTTTGCATCCCATCCTGCCAATGGTGACAATTCCAGCAAGGGTGTCCCAGGATCTACCAGTCGTTGAATGCGATCTCGAGGCAAAAATTTGTTTCGTTGTAAATGGCGTTCGACAGCATTGGGTCCACCTCCTTGACGCACAGTTTCGAGACAACTGTTGAGTTCTTTGACTTGGAGATGGGTTCGTTCCATGGCTTCCTGAAAGGAAGGACTTTTGGTGTCCAAGTCACAATCCAGAAGAGGTGGAGGAAGATGGGCTGCCGACGAAGAAGCGGAAAAGACTGATCGTCGCCATGGGATGCGCTGTCTGGCAGCATGTTGCTGCAGAGCCTTGGTGGCAGGATACCGAATCATTTTCTTTCTTAGAGACGACTAAGCTAGCTGACTGATCCAAATTATAAGCTTCGGTTGTTGATAGCTGGACCCTGATCTTCTGCCTTCTTCTGAGAATAAGACTGCTGTCTAGTAGTCTACTGGCAACCTGTACGGTACGGTAGCATTGCTGATTGAATTCTTTCTTTGACGACAATCGATGACATGACATGTTTTGGAGTTCTTTCTCAAATCTCAAAGATCCTGTCATTCGTGCTTTGTAAGGAATAAGGTTAATATCGTAGGAGTCAGTCCGCTTTCACTGTCGTCACTCCTTTTGCATTGAAGCCCATCAACGATGGGGTCTTCAACTTGGCAGTGATGGGAGGAAGTGTGTTGCTTTTGCAATGGAGTGAGGATCCGACGATTGAGGCCTATTCGCCGAGTACTTGTACTTCTTTTCCTCTGCTGAATCTACTACCATAGCTGTTGTGGACTGTTGCCATTGCAGTTCATTGTCTGCTGCAAAAGAAACAAGCTAGCTAGTAGCCAAACTGAGGAGTTTTTCTTCCTTCAGTTATTGTAGATTCATCCTGCCGTACTTTATCTTAGTCGCCATCATCATGCTTCGATTGGCACAAGCAGTGGCCTTCCTTTGGTCATTGAGTACAGCCTCCTCGTTTGGTGTGCCCAAACACTCCCCTGTGGCTTTCACTACAACCCTACCACAACAGCACCAACAGCTGCCACTGGGTGTCCGAGGAGGTGACTCTGTCCACAAATCAACCACCTTGTCCGCTTCTGTGACATCCTCCGATGTCGTGGCCGAAGAAAACCTGCAAGTCCTATCGGAACGAGGACGAAGATCCGTAGTGAATCTGGTAGAGAATGATACAGATGGGGCGCAGGCACACGTCTACGGTGGTTGGCCAGCAGCTGGTAGTGAAGATGAAGGCAAGAAACAGTTGGCAGAACAGGTAAGTAGGTATACAATCAATTCGCAGCAGTATACTGGTATTAGCAGAACAGGATCATTGCTTGTGCCTGCATGTCAGATATCATTCAATGCTCATCTATGTATCTATCTACTTCAAAAACGTTGATCATGATTGAATTCTATACTATACCTACACTATACAGCTGGCTGATTTGGATGAATCTTATCCAGGTGGCCTGGCGGCGTATCTTTCCAAAGCCAAATTGCTATTGAAAGAAAGTGCCGATGCAGTCAACCCATTTGAGGAATACGAAGCCCTTGTTCCCGAGGGAGAATCACTTAGTTTCGACGGTGAGGGTACCATGCCCTTTGCAGAAGCAGAGCAAAAGGGTATCGAAGCCATGGCTGGAGCTACATTTGTGTTGGTGGCTGGAGGATTGGGTGAACGTCTGGGCTATTCTGGAATCAAACTGAGTTTGGAAACCAATCTTTGCACCAATACAAACTACCTAGAGTTGTACGTTCGATACATTCAGGCCATGGAATACCTTGCCAGACAAAAAACGGGACGTGACGATATTCGCATTCCTCTCGTCATCATGACATCGGGAGATACCGATCCTTTGACTCGTCAACTATTGAAAGACAACAACAATTATGGCAGAGATGACGATCTCATCACAATCGTGACACAGGATAAGGTGGCCGCCCTCAAGGATGGCAGTGCGGGATTGGCTTTAGAAGGCGATGACAGGTGGTCCATTCAAACCAAGCCACATGGACATGGAGATGTTCACCATCTCTTGTTCCGGGAAGGATTGGTGGACAAGTGGGAAAAGGAAGGAAAATCTCACGTTGTATTCCTCCAAGATACCAATGCTCTTGTCATCAACTCGGTCATTCCTACCTTGGGTGTGAGTGTCGCCAAAGGATTCCACATGAACAGTATTTGCATCCCCCGTTTGGCAGGCGAAGCTGCTGGAGCCATCACACGCCTCGAGTAAGAAACAGAAACGTATCTGTCGTTGTTTGTCGATTCTGCCTAGCACGGGCTCTTCTCATCATCATCATTTCTTCTTCATCCTACTGTACATAATCCAGACACAAGAGTGACCCCAACAAGAGTCTGGTGATTAACGTAGAATACAATCAGCTTGACCCACTCCTGCGTTCTCAGGGAGACAAGAAGGGTGATGTGCCAGACCCCAACACTGGATATTCTCCCTTTCCAGGAAATGCAAACAATCTGGTGCTAGAACTTGGAGCCTACGCCAAGACGCTGCGTGGCGAAGACCAAGGTGTGGTGCTGGAGTTTGTCAACCCCAAGTACAAAGACGACACAAGGACCGAATTCAAGAAACCCACTCGCCTGGAATGCATGATGCAAGACATCCCCAAATTGTTTCAAAAGGAAATGGGACAAGAAGCCAACATTGGTTTCACTATGTTTGATCGATGGTTCACTTTCTCGCCCGCCAAGGTAGGTTTGCGATAGCATGTATGTTGGAGAGACTATTACGGAACGGAAATGATGCTCACGTGTCATTGATTCTGTTTTCAGAATGCATTGGAGGCTGGAGTAGAGGCAGTCGACAATGGCAACTCTGCTCCTGGAACCATGTCATCCGCAGAATCCGACAAATACGTACAAAACCAACGGAAACTTAAATTCGCCAGCGCGGACGTGAAAGTGAACGAGGACCCCGCTACCGAGCTCGTAAAGGTCGGCGGCATCCCTGTTACACCAGGTCCCCGTATCATGCTGTGTCCTGCCTTTGCAATCACCCAGGAAGAGATCCTGGCCAAGGTAGGCGGTGCCGAAAAGTGTACAATCAGTGAACGATCCTCTGTCGTCCTGGAAGGGCACAACTTGAACATTAAGAACCTGGAGGTTGACGGCGCCTTGGTGATTCGATGCGGTGACGACACCCATGTCACTGTGGATGGACTCAAAGTTGAAAACAAGGGATGGGAACTGGCGGAACTGGATCCCAGCAAGGAGTACGAGGAGACCGTTTCTATCCGTGGGTACACAATGAGCAAACACGAGACCGCAGAGTATGTGTTGACTGAGCCCGGAAACTATGTTATTGGTGCCGATGGAGAGGCGAAGAAAGTTTAATACATATATAGACCGCTATACAAACAAGCTATCCGAAGCGTTACGGATTGATTGGCCATGTCATGTATGCACATGTTCGAAGGACAAGAGATGCCGCACCACAGGTACACCACAAATAACACAACACGAACTAGCGCTCTGTTCTGGTACGAAAGAGAGGTGAGCCTTGACAGTATATGTTGGCAGTCTCTGCGGGAACGACACACCCTCTCTTCGTCACGACTGAGCTTGGACAAAAAATTGTGCCAGTTCTACTTGGCCAAGTTGGCTGGATGAGCTATTGGATTGTGTAGTTTTCTGGATTTCTAGCTGTCTCCAATTGAAGGAAACTTGTCCACTGGCAAGGCTACCGGTACCGTACTACAACCCTTGGTTGCCATGCAGTGTCCCATCGTCAAGGCATCTGCAGCATCTTGGGGGCAACATCCGGTGAGCTTTTGTTTTGGCTTCGAGGCCAAAACGAGGTCGGGACTGAATTCGGAACAAACACGCGTGATGGATGTCCGGATCGTCCGTTGGACGGATTCCAATGCTTCCCTTAATTACCAAGGCAGCGTAGCGCCTCCCTCCAAGGCCCGACTGGCGCATCACCGCGCCCTTGGCAGCAGCCAATTTTCTCAGTGTAACGCTGCACATTGTCGTCATTTTAGGAGGGCAATCGACAGCTAGCTAGCTGAAGGACAAGAAAGGCAATCGACAGTCCTCAGCAATCATATTAGTCAACAGCACTGGCTAGCTAGTAGGAGTGTCCGTCGTGCTTCGGTTGAGAAAACGCAGTTCGAAACGAATGGTTGAACCTGTCGTTTCGTCCAGTTTTCTGTTTCACGGCAGCGAAAAGAAGAGCATTCTCATTATTCCGGCCGTCGAAGTGTCAATCGAAGAGCACCCACTACCTAGAAAGGAATAAGTTGAGTTTCCACGATGACATTCCCTGGCCGTCGGATGTCCTTGGGCCGCAGTAGCGGAAGCCGCGAAGGAAAGGAATCTCTGCTGCTGAAGCCTGAGCCCAGCGTGTATTCCAGTGGCAGCAATAGTAGTCGCCGATCACGACAGAACCGCTACCAACAGCATGACACTCCTTCTTTTCAATCTGGCTCCAGTTACAGCAGTGGAGGCTCTGATCCCTACGAGAAGGCTGTGAGATCAGAGATTAAAAGCAAGCAACACGCACATGAACAGCAGAGTCGGCCTTCGGATGGTGTCATGGAATTTGTTCCAGCCTTTGATGAGTCCAATGCACATGGCTATGTGCCTGATACCTCCTGGGACGCTATTTTGAATGAAGGATCGACTGCCTTCCCCGGGGAACCTGCCAAATCCAGGAGTGATGCTGGGGCATTGACAAATAGCCGCTTTCGACGGAGAGCACAATCCACTGTTGGTAAACCTCAACAACCCGCTGCTACCAATTCCAGACGGCATTCTGATGCTGCGTCTGCTGTTTCTTCTTCTCGAAGTAAAGGACCACGTATTGCTCGTCTTGCTTCTTTGTTCTCTGGCAAAGAGTCCAAATCCAAAGCTTCTCCAAAACAAACGAATCTCTCAAGCTACAGCCAGAATTCATATACTCCTCATAACACCACTGAACCTACACTGGCATCATCACCATCTCGCTCGTCGAGTTCGAGCGGCTACGTAGGATGGCCTGGAACCCAAGACAAACAAGGGCATACTGTTGCTATGCACGACAGCTACGAAGATAGTGACCCTGGACCGATTGATCAAGCAGCACGAGGTGAAGACTTGTCATTCGGAGAGTTCCATAACGACCGAGAACAAATGGAGGTGGATGAATGGATGAATAGCTCTGCGTTTCAAGATATTTCCGGAGTCATGCCAGAACAAGACGTTTCGGGTATCATGCCAGAATCTCCTCCGTCACCTCCTGGACGCAGACCCGACAATTCCTACTACTATCACCCAGAACAGCAGCAGCTCCACACTGAAACAAATGCAATTCACACAAATCATCTGTTTCATGATCAAGGTGGGTGGGATGTGGATACTGCTCCCTCTCCATCGCGGTCTTCATTCTCTAAGAATTCATCAGCCTACTTTGACAACGATGTCAGACCCACTGTTCCCTCCAATGAAGATGCAAGACGCAAGCAAGCAGCAGCTGTAGTTATGCGCGGTGTTCTACCACCCACTGAAGAGACTCTTGCACTCAACAATTGCTACTCTCAACCTCAGCGGACATTTCATGCTGAGCATGCTAGAGGATTCAGGGGCTTTATTGACAAGACTCATGAAGTGCCAAACTTGATGGATGACATGGATTCAGACAGCATGGCTTCGTCTAGCCAGACATCCTCTCGCGCCCCATCCGCTGCCAATATCCCTGCAGCATACCATTCCTCTGCGAATGTTGGGCGTGCCCCTCGGGTCATGCCACGGGTCCACGAAGATGAGGAATTGTCCGTGGATTCTGAATCGGATGTGTTTGATGAAATTTCCAAGTATTCTCTTGGAGAGTCGGAGCTATTCGATGGTCTGTCGTCTCATCAATCAGTATCCAAACAGTCCGGCTATGAGATCCGTGACTTGCATCCCTACGAAGGCATTCCTCGCAATGACGTGGAAGAATCCAAGGCTTCTCTCCGAGAGATTCGGAACACCACGACTTCGGTTGAAAAACGCTACAAAGTCAACGACCGCAGTGTCCAAAGCAACGGCAGTAGCAAGATGAAGGTTGTTCTTTTGGGGGGTGGTCTGACTACGATCCAAACCACAACTGAAGACTTTTCCAATCGAATCACTGCCAGTGACTTTGATGATGGCTTGACCAACAGCGACATTGACGAATATGGACATCCGCGGCTACCGAACTTTCAAGAGATGGCTGCTGCAGGAAGGACGAACGACAGTGCTATCGATGTCTCCATCGCTTTTGGACATTCCAATGTGAGCAAGGACGCAAGCAGTCTAAGCTTTACCGCATTCGAAGAAAAGAACAGCCAGCTTAACGAACCTGAAGGAAGAACTCTGAATCCTTCCGGTAGCTACAAGGACGACGAATCAGCCTTCTTTTCGGATTTCTATTCAGCAGACGACGTGGAATTCGAGGGAGACCTGTCCGAGTACTATGTACAGCCCTCTGAAGTGAAGAAGCTTGTACGAAAGTACCGTAAGATGTGTCGAATCACTGCATCTCAGTGCCGCAACTACGACGAGTTGGATAGGGCAGAGGATGAGAAGAAAGCTTTCGCCCTCTTTGAAATGCGCAGCCGTATTATGGAAAAGGATATTGAGCGAGGCCTGGAACGTCGCGGTGGAACATCTGCGGTGGACGACTTGGTTACGACACCCTTTAATCGTCGGGCCATGCGCATTCGCGATGCCGTCATTGTTAGCAAGGCTTGGCGAGATGGAGCAACGCCGATGGATGTTATCAATACAGCTCTCCTTACCCAACGCGCGGAACGATCCTATTTCATAAAGCGAACCAGCAGAGTCACCAGTTACCGTATGCCAGATGCCAACCTTCACGTGGAGTGGGAGGCGGTGAATTGGATCGATGACACGGACTTTCTGCAGTACTACTGTCCTTCTCTGGGAGCTCGCAACCTGCGAGGCTCTGAAATGTTCACCATTGGTGACTGCCAGAGCATTCTTTTGAAGCTGACAAACGAGTCCTGCATTGTAAGTGCTAAGTCAGGGGATGAGATACGGCATGTTTCGCGCAGCGGCTTGACCTCACTTCCTTCTTGCGTTCTTTGAATCATTGAAGGAGTTACGAGCGGACCTCAACGATGCCACAGCAAGACAGATTGAAGCCGAAGAAGCCATGAAAGAGGAAGGTGACTATGGTGATGGCATGATGACAGAAGCAGAAATGACATACCTCGCCTCCATGGAAGAAGTCAAGACGATTTCAAAGCAACTGGTGGTGGCTGAGAAGGCGTTTGTACTTGTTCGTGATCGCATTAAGAACTTGGTTGCCAAGTATGAGTCTCTGTTAGTCAAGATTGACAATGAAGATATGGCAACTTCGTCGGTGATCACAGCTGAGAGCTCGTGCTACTCTGATGAGTACGAGTCCAGAGTCTCCACCGACTACGACCAAGAAGAGCGTGCTTGGTTCCGACGTCAGCAGCGGGCAGAGATCAGTGCGGAGCTAGCTGCGAGGGAGGCTCTGTTGGCCAAGCAAGGCGAAGCGCGGGCTGTGCAGGAGGAGAAACACCGAGAGCTCCAAGCTTTGCAAACCCGTCTAGTCGAGCTTCAATCGGAGGCGTCAACCACGACATCGGACCGTCAGCGATCCGCTATGCTTGCAAAGGCCATTGCAGCAAGAAATCACTCGTCTCGTAAGCACCCGGGACATCACCATCCTGTTGGCAAGGCCACGCCCCAGAGCAAAGTTGACGACGTCAAGCAACGCTTCCGCGACAGAATGGCCGCCCGACTGCGACAAAAGAATGGCACTGTCGATCAGAGCAGGGCCGATTTTGAACCCCAAGGGGCTCCTTCCAATCAGCGTTACCACATGGAGAACGAGCTGCCTTCAAAGCCGGTAACCTCTGCAAGGACAACTGATCCGGACAGGCAGAAAATGATCCGCTCTGCTGGTGAGGAAATGTTTCAGCATTTGGACTTTTATGAACGCTCGTTGAAGGCTGTGGAGCTTTCACGGGAGGGTCCTAACCGGTGATTGATGCGATTCGCTGTCCTCGTCCGGTACCGAACGCTGTAAGAATAAGATGATGTTCCATGGTGTTAAAGCTATAAACCAACCACGCCATTTGGATTTCTGTTTTCTAGCTAGCTAGAGAGCAACCTGTACCGTACGGGATCTGCTGCCGTAACACAACACTCTTTGTTGCAAGCAATGGCATTGGCAAAAGCAGTGTTAGAGTTGGGTTGGTTGGAGTCAGTCACTTTCCACGCCGTGGAAGTTATTCACGAAAATTCGTGACTGTAGCGAGGCCACAAAAATCTTTGAGCTCAGAATCGAATGACCAATCACAAAAAATACAGGATTTCATGCAACAGAGAGCAGCCTGCAAAGGCAACTGTTTGTAGCTATTAGTACATACATGTAGCCATAGAGAGCAAAAGAGGATGATACGATTATCGGAGAGCCAGAGATGGCGCAGGGTCTTCGCGAGGGTTGATCTCCTGAAGTCTGTTACTGCTTCGCATCCATTATCAGCATCTTTGCATTGGGTACATGACCGGAGACGCTTTCTTTCCGGACCGAGCATTGATGCAGATTTTTATGCCAGCCAACTCCAAGTTGGAAATCCTAGAAAAAGGAGAGATTTGTTCGGAGAAAGAAAAAGAAGATCATCGAGAACGTCTGGCCGTGGTGACCTTTCCCTGGTGAGGCCAATGCCTCGACCAGCCATGAGACAATTCCGGGAGGAAAGTCCGAGGAAGAGATTTCCAGGTCGCGACAATGATAGACGAAAAAGCAGAGGCTTGGACGAAGCATGGGACCAAGAGAATTCGTTGCATGGCTACGGAAGAGGAAGCTCAAGACGCGACAGGTCAAGGTCGTTTACTGGCAGGCAATCGACCGAGAGGAGCACGGCAAAGTACAATCGTCAAGACAGCAATGATGGTAGGATATTTAGAAATCGAGCCTCGAAAAGTGGCCTTGGTAAAAAGTATTCAGATCAGGAGTCAATCCCCTTGGAAGAAGAATTGGATCCAGAACCAAAACGAATGTTTCGGAAAGACTGGATCAAGCTGAGGGAAGCTTCAGTGGAAAAGGCTACAGGCTCGAGCCTTGGCCAAGTGCTTGACCAGCCTTCTCCCAGAATCCTTTCCAAAGCCAAGCAGAAACAGATCATCAAACCAGCCCCTATAGCCAACTTTCCTCCCAATGACATGAAGATGTTTGTTTCTTGCCTTCCTGGATTGGAACCAATCTTGAAGGCTGAAATGGAGGCGCTGGGGTTTGATTGCAACGAAGAGGCTGGTGGAGTATCTCCCACGTCAACTGTTTCGTTGGAAGACATTCTAAATTGTCACATTCACCTAGGCACGGCTTCCCATGTCTTTATCAGATGTGGAAACCCCTTTTCGGCTTATGGGCTCAAGGACCTTAAGAAGAAAGTGGGTCTTCTCCCCTGGCACCAGTTCCTGAGGGGCCAGGGCCAGTTGCTTGTACGAGTGAGCTCCAAAAAGAGCAAATTGAACCATAAAACAGCCATTCGCACTGCCGTCCTGGACGGTATCAATGAGTCTCTCAAGGCCAAAGAACCAGAACAGAATCGGACAGTGACAAATGTAAAGCGAGACTCTGCAGACGAAGAGGCTCTTGCTTTGCTTGTTCGAATTGAACATGACCAAGTGCTTCTATCGGTCGATACCTCACAGACACCAATCCACAGAAGAGGCTATCGTCTGGAAACAGCAAAGGCGCCGCTACGCGAGGATCTAGCCTTTGCCATGTTGCACAGTGCAGGCTGGTGCATGCATGATCCAACAAATCCAAAAGCGCCAGTCCCAACGTTTAGTGGCTTTCTAGACCCCTTTTGTGGTTCAGGAACCATTGCCATCGAGGCAGCATCCATTGCCGCTGGTTTGCCGCCCGGTCGTCTAAGACCTGTGCCTCTTGCTGGGACTTCTTTGTACAAGCCACAACTCTGGCGACAACGCTTAGGCAAGGTGGTGCGAAAGGTCCCCAAAAAGGAAGGAGAGCGAAAACAGTTCCAAATTGCCGCATCAGACCGTGATGCAGGGGCTGTGGCAGCAGCGATCGAGAATGCCAAACGTGCCGGAGTCAATGAATGGATCGACATCCAACAATCGGCAATCTCTGCACACCCGTGGCTCAATAGCGACTCTACTTCCGAGAAAAACAGTGGGCCTTATCCTCTGCTGGTGGCCACAAACCCACCTTTTGGAATGAGAATTGCGGCAGCAGGAGGCAAGAAGAGCAAATCGAAGGTGCATCCACTTCTGCCACTGTACCAAACTTTGATTGGACGACAGAGCAGGCTCTCAGCAGGGGGGAAACCGGTATCTACAATAACCCTTCTGCAGGATCCGAACTTGTTTCGCAAGACCGGTGCTGACATGAATATCAGGTTCAGCTCGCAGCATGGTGGCATCCCAGTTGCGGCTGCTTTCACGGCCGCACCAACACTAGATAAGTCAGAAAGCAAGGAAGGCTGAATAGGCAAATTGGAGGCCTCCTTCGAGTTCTGTTTCTAATTGCTAGCTAGGTTATAAGCATCTAATTGTCGTAACTGGTATGGTTCTTGTACGGTGTAGCGGAGACAGGTAGTAGAAAGACAACTAAGAGAGCCATGCACCTCCGCCAGTTGGAATCGAATCAGTCCTTGCCAAGGCAACTGGTTCGTACCCCAAGTATAGAGCATCATTTGAGAATAGGAAAATTGAGTTTTTGTGTTGACAGGGGCAAGTGGTTGCAAAACTGTTTTGGGTTGGGGGCAAGCATGCCAACCACAGAAACAACAAAGGGGGTGTCGCTGCATGGTGCTGTTGTAGCCACCTCTTTGTGTAAAGAAGCTTCAGCCACCTCTTTGTAGCGTGCATCATCTCGAAGGTACCGAGGTGAGATCTATGAATGTAACATGGACTGCTGCCGTGGTGCCCCTCTTCCAAGTATCCATTACAGATAGTCTACACATCATGGAATAAATATAATGATCTTGAGGCCCTGCTGGGCCGAGAATTACCGAAACAGCGAAGGGAAGACGCAACAGTTCGAGCAAACTCCCTTTACGAACAATCATGCATATGTACGCGCTACTGCTAGCTAGTAGAAGTTGGTGCTGCACTGGTCCTTGCTGCTATAACTGTGTGCCATTCTAGCAATTAAGGAGGAGCCACCCCTCTTCTCGAGGGAAGGGGCAATGTCTATGAAAAGTACCACCAGCTGTGCTGCCCCTGTGCCAATTGTATCTATTACAGATGGTCTATACAGTATTAGCATGCTTAGAAAGCACCGATGGTGGTGAGAACGGGCACAGATCCAGGGACACTGGCCTCGGCAATGAATCCCATGGTGGCGATCATTGCGAGACTGCGGAAACAGAACAAAAAGACACAATACAGTGAGAAAACACGCAAATCGTAGAGGCCAACCAACAGAGGAGCAATGCATGCAATTTGACAGTACATACCGTCCATTGTTCAATTCACGGTTGCGCTTCAATGTCATGGTTTGTTCGCTAACTCCAGAGAAGTCAATTGGTGGGAAGACCATGGTTGGCAATTCTCCTCCCTTCATGTAGTGAGTTCCTTGGTATCCTTCAGTGATCAACTCAGCACAGAAGATTGTGAAAAGGATTTGAGCCTTTCCAGCGTCAGGGACGGCAGCCCATTGATCAATGGGCTTCATGGTGGAAAGGGATTCGAAGGAGATGTCGTGGCTCAACATTCCTGGGAAGTGCATGCCGCCAGCCTGGACAATGAAACCAGTGGCGGCAACCATGGCGCATCGGCCGTGCTTCAGCTCGGCGGCCCGGAACCAAGCAAGGGTTTCGTCACTTCCGAAATCAGCCAAGCCAAGGGGGTCGAAGGCCTTGACAGGCATAGTGCTTCCTGTCATGTCATCAAGGGCAGCACCGAGAGAAGTACTGGCCTACGAAAGGAGAAGCAAAGATGAGCAAACCAACAACCAATGGGACTACTGGAAATTCTCGCTTGAGAAGGAACACGGAAACACACCTGGCTTTGAGAAGCAGGGGCGAAGGCGACGGCAGAGCCGAAAAGGGCAAGGAGAACAGCGACGGTCTTCATCTTCGTTTAGTCAAGGAACTTCAGGGAGTGAACTTGTGTGTTGCGACCACGTCTAGCTAGCTAGTGCTGTAGACAGGCGCAGGATAACCGCAACCCGAAAGAAAGCTTCGGCACCCACAGAGCACCAAAACGTTGCCTTTTGCCTCAAGGTCGGCTTGGAAATGGGTGTATCTTTTGATTTCAACTTGGGGAATCAATCCCTAACCTTAAATATGCAAAAAATCCGGCTGAAAATTCGGACAATTGATGGAAGAATTCAAACATCGATTGATCCGCCGAATTCGATCTCGGCTCCATGCATGGTCGTTCCAACGCCACAAGAAAGCTGCGACTGCTTTGTTGGTAGAATGGATCGACAAGGTTGCTGTTCACTTAAACCACTTCCAGGAGGGGCAAGGAAAGAACACGATGAACGAAGAAGAGAAAGAAGCAAACAGACCTAGACTAGATCCCGTATCCTTTGTCTCTGAACAGAAGGACCTCTGGGTTGGGCAAATTTTCCCATTTTTGGGGATGGGACACTATGCCTATGTGGCTCCTGTCAGCCGGCAAATGAAAGATTTATATCAAACGTATTGTGATACTGTTGCAAAGCCTCCATATGTGAATTTTCGAAATAAAAGGCGCCTTGCAACTGGCACTGACACATTCTTTAGGATAGCCTTCTCGAGTGTTTCATGTGCTCAATACTGGTACCCTAACAGATACAACCGACAAAGCCAACCACCAATATTTCTTTTCTCAGAAATCGTAAAAGCTGGAAGTCTTCCAGTTTGTCAATGGGCACACAACCAAGGGATCTCTTGGGACAGATGGACTTCTACTACAGCAGCAAAATTTGGGCATCTGGAAATTCTGAAGTGGACTCGTGAAAATGGCTGTCCATGGCAAGCATTGACATGTGCTGCGGCTGCAGGAGGTGGCCACTTACACATTTTGAAATGGGCTAGAGTCAGTGGTTGCGCATGGGATGCAAACACATGCACATTTGCAGCACGAAGTGGGAACTTGGAAATATTGAAATGGGCACGAGACAATGGCTGTCGCTGGAATACAGCCACATGTTTCGGTGCTGCTCAAAATGGACATGTTGAAGTGCTCAAATGGGCTCATGAAAATGGCTGTCCATGGGATGCTCTTACATGCTGCAATGCTGCTGCAGCTGGTCACCTGGACTTGTTGAAATGGGCTCATGAGAATGGCTGCCCTTGGGATGAGCGCACATGTGCTGATGCTGCCATTCGAGGACAACTAGACACAATAAAGTGGGCTCATGAGAATGGTTGTCCCTGGAATGGGACTACATGCTCTAATGCAGCAGAGCGCGGCCACCTGTTGATTGTGAAGTGGGCTCACGAGAATGGTTGCCCATGGGATGAGCATACACGCTGGCGTGCTGCTAGAGCTGGTCATGTCGAAATAGTGAAGTGGGCACATGAACAGGGGTGCCCTGGGGTTGAAGAAACTTGTGCTTGGGCTGCTGTTGGTGGCCATTTGGAGGTGTTGAAGTGGGCCCACGAGAATGGCTGTCCCTGGGATGTCCGCACCTGCTGTGATGCTGCTGCAGGTGGGTATCTGGACGTGCTCAAGTGGGCTCATGAGAATGGATGCCCATGGGACGAATTGACCTGTGTAATGGCTGCTGGAGGTGGTCATCTTGAAGTCCTAAAGTGGGCCCATGAAAATGGTTGTCCCTGGGATGAATCCACCTGTGCAGAGGCTGCAAAGTCTGGCCACCTTGTAACACTGAAATGGGCCAGAAACAATGGATGTCCCTGGGATGCACGAACACGGCAATTGGCGGAACGAGGCGGTCATCAGGCAGTTTTGCGATGGGCAATAGACAATGGATGCCCATAGAATCTTCCATCCTAGCCTAGAGGGCATGTTGGATACAAAGTACTAGTAGTTGCGTGGTCAGGATCCAGAATACACAACTACCTTGGGAGAGAAAATGATTATCTCCAAACTGATGTAGCTAGCTAGCTAAGATGCGAGAGTGGCTACTACACTACAGCGTGCCTCAACCAGGCAAAGCAGACTGAGACAATCAATCCTACCAGTAGCAGTTGACAAAAGAGAACAAGAAGGAGCAAACCTTACCTTGCTATTGGGCCCTCATGTGTTGTATACTCTTCAGTCTAGTGGTGCATAGAAATGTCACATGTAGCATTTCCTGTTATAATTAGTGGCATTAGTATTGGTAATTGTCTGCATTGCTTTCTTTACTCCTCCTCTGGTGCATCACCATCTACTTCTTCATTTTCGAGAGCCAACCGTTCCATCATAGCTTGCAATTCTGTTTCTTCCTTGAGACTGACAGCCTTGGGTGCCATTTTCACATCAATTTTGCCTCCCTTTGCGGAGATCTTTTCGCGAATGACACCAATAGACGAGTTGAGCAGGGCAATTCCAACTTCTTTTTCGAGCGTGGTTGTTGACATAACATAGATAGGAGGTGCAATGAGTTTGATCTTGATTTGTGAATTGTCAGTTCCAGCAGCCATGCCAGCGAATAGAGCATCGCGAATGGCATCAATCCCTTCATAAGTAAAGCAGCTGACTTCAATATCAGATCGGATCTTGATGGGTTGAGGTGCCAATCGCCGTAGAATGTATGTTTTGATTTCATCTTTCAGATCCTGTGGGACATCAATTTCGTCAAAAGGATCCACGGCATTCTTTTCATCAGAAATGGCTAGGCGAAAGGCATCATAGGCATGCCCATATTTCTTGTAGAGTGGCCAGCCAATTCTTTCATAGACATCTTCAAGGTGAAACTTTCTTCGTTCACAGACATGCCGAAAGACACCATGGACAGCTTTGGCCTTGTTGAAACGATCTTCACAAGCAGCAACATCCTCTGGACTGACTCGACGTTTGGACAAGTCAATATATCCTTTTTCTTTGTCGACACGCAGGACCATGACGACTTCATTGCGATTGACTCGGATGAGTCTGTGAATGGATCGAATACGACGACGTGACAGTTCACTCAGCAGGATCATTCCCTCGATATTGTTGTATTCGAGCAGGCTCACATATGCACCCATGTCGGCAATGGAACGCACATTCACCATGACCACACTCTCAATTTCAGGGAACTGGTTTTCATAGAATCGACAATCCAGATTCTTGCGATCATCATTCAAGTACAGGCGAAATCCCCCATTCTCTTCGGGACCTAGCAGAGCAGCTGTGGCAGAAACAACTGGTGCATCATCACCTCCTTCCTTTTTGGCTTCTTCCTCTGCAGACATTTTAAAAATTAATTCTAATTTTGAGGGGGTTCAAAGGTTTTCGAGTTGGTCAAGATAGATGGAGCAGATTGTGGTGGTGACGGGCGATGGTGGGAGGACACGTCTCGTTGGTAAACGCAGGACGTTGATGCCGATAATGTTTTGCAACCAAGAAGTGGATATCTGCCAATCTGACCGTTGTCGATAACTTGCTAGCCTGCGCTACCTTCGAAATAGGTAGGAGATAGTTGCCTTAGACAAACAGCCTACTTGAATGAAGCGTTTCGGTTGTTGTTGCGAGATGAAGTAGGTGACGCTCATTGTTTGCCTTGCTTGCATGGACCTCCGATGAAGATGAGGCGAGAATTGAGCAGAAGGTCTGGCCTTCTTCCGACAAAGCATTTGTGCACCGTGGAAGGATATGCCTCACCGTGGAAGCCTCATCGTGGTTTCAGAGAAGATTCGGGGTTTGAAAGGGTTCGGAGTTGAGAGGTTCGTGGGTTCGGATTTGGTCTTGGACTTGACACCCTTCTTTTTTGAGGAAGCCAACAAGAGCCACTCCAACCGCGAACCTTTTGCAAGTTCATTGAGAGGGTTCGGGGTTGGACTTTTGGCCTTCCAGCACTTTATTGGCTTAGTCTTGTTGACACCGCTTCTTCTCTTTTGCGGAAGCTAAAAGAGCCTTGCGCTTCATGTATTGGAGGGCGATGAGGTAAACTGGAATAATCGTTCAAACATAAATATGAATTTCAAAATGACATTCATCCCTATTATTACCGGTTCTACCTACTGGTATTGAGCGCTTTCGTCCTCGCCTATCCGATTTGCGGACCCAATTGCAAGTACATTTCACGCCGTTGGCGAAGAACAAACACATCAACAACAAGGACCAGCGGGAAGGCAAGATACCATTATACCATCGGCATCTTCCAGGCACGGAAACTCTGGCGGCTTTGATTTCACAAAGAAGATAGCGGACACAATCTCAAGCCTCTCTACTTTACTGCTGTCTACCTCTCCAGATATTTCTATTCGTTACCATGCGACTTTTGACCCACAACTTCTTGCAGTCCAACGTGAAGGGGTAAGTTCTATTTTGTTTGATTCTTGTGAAGGAATCTCGCAATGGCCATCACGGAATCTGATGTTAATGGCGTCGGAATCTGTTGATACCATGATCCTTGGCAATACTAACTCTCCATGTTCGTATCGTTCTTTTAGAACCGAAAAGGGTTACCCTCTGGGCATTGAACGAGGAGCGGAACTTTCTGTGGAATCGTCGCCTGTGAATCGCAATCTGGTGCTCAAGATGCTTAACAAAGTCGACTATTCGGCGCTGGTGTCTATCACAAACAATCTACGAGAAGAACGCCAAGAAGATATCCCAGAGCTACCACCCTCATTGCCTGAAACCTTGGAAGAAGAGACCATTGCCAACTACCACAAGGTCCTCTTTGATGTCCAGCTGGTCAATGGCTTTCTGGTATGCCCGGACACGGGACGCAAGTTTCCTGTCAAGGATGGAATCCCAAACATGATTCTACACGAAGATGAAATCTAAGGAAGATGTCAACAACAACCAGCACTCTTTGGGGGCCATTCTTACAACACAAAAGCAGCCGTTTGGTTGCATGCTGGTTTAGTGTTCCTGGAAGGAGATTCCATCACGTTGCTCTGGGCAAACTGTACAATAGAACATTAGGTAATGAACGAACGATTTTGTTCATTCCCTGGTTTGTAAATCTAGAAATCAACTCAAGAACAGTGGACACTCGTTGAGAAAGTCGTGAAGAATTCCCGGGCCCGAGATTGGAAGCCGTAGCTACATGTACGGTTCAAGTACATGGCATGTACTGGAATGTACTTGAACCGTACATGTAGTAATCTAGGCTTGATATGTTAGATGCACGTTGGGAGTTAATAATGTAGCCATCCAGTGTATCGGTATGTCAGTACGACCTCAGGATGTGGATAGGAACATTATGATGGAATTAGCTGAGGTAGCTAACTAGCTGGCTGCTCACACAATCGTAGCGACCGTGAATTAGGTCAATTGGCCATTGATAGCTTGAGCGGCCCACTGGAAGATGCCTACTGTATGATGATTGGCCTTCAATGAACACATCATACCGTACATCTCAAACAGGCACAGGAAACGTTCAAAAATCTTTGTAGCTAGACCTGGAGGTCCAGATGACATGCTTTCCAAATCCGATGCCCACAAGTCCTCGTTGGTGTAAGGTTGCTGGATGCTGAGAAGCAGGCTCTCAAAGCTTACAACCAAACACATGGCTGAGATGCAGGGTATTAGTACCGGTACACTGTATTAGCCCTCAAACCAGGTTTGAGGACTGTAGCCCACCAACACCCTGCTGGCGACTCTATCAAGCTCTTTGCCACCTTCGCTCAGTCAAGAGAGCAACGAGACCCGACATCAACACAATAGTATCAAACCATTAGCTAGTGTTATCCAACTCTGAACACTGCTCCTATTACCATACAGGAGACAGGAGCAGGTGTTTAAACACACTGTATCATCAGGTATAGAAGTTGTGTAATAGACCATCAAAAGTTCTCTGGTCAGTTGCATTTATCAAATGTACATGAATACAATAATATAGAGCTTTTTGAGTTGATCGTATATGATACAGTCCCCCCTGGTAGGGGTATCCACGAACTGGGCTCTTTCGGCGTACCGTACAAGAATAGCTTGAGGTTTCGAACGATCATCAAAATAAATTGTCAGCATTTACATTGATGCCCGAAATCAACTCAACACATCTCAAGCCAACATATATCGTATATCAAATTATAGCGGCACACATACATCTAGTGCCTCGTGAAAATTTCGGTTTGTCTTTACGGATGCTTCGGATGTGCATGCATTATTTGCTCTTGTCATTGGTTTGGTTCGTTAACTGGTTGCGATAATCATTCGCTGCTCGTTCCAAAAATCCAGTGCCAGCCAGAGTTGGCGGTTAGATAACGAAGCGGATTAACTTGATCTTGAATGGTGGCGCCATGAACCGAACCAAACCAAACCGAAGTCCCAGCCTAATTCTTGATGGCTTCAGATGAAGCGGGATCTTCGAGCGAAGGGAATTGGAATATGTTGACATTGGCTCGATCTTTCTTCAAATGATTCAATGTTCCTCTTCGAAACTTGACGATTTCCAACCACTGTGTTTTCTCCTGGCCTTGCTGCATTGCCCTGGCTTCCGTTGCGATTTGCTGAAGGAACATATCCGCCGTAGTCAACAGCTTGTCAACCTTTTCAAGATGATCCTCTTGGCTTGTTTTCGCATCCGGGGAAGGCCATTCCAATTCCAGCAAACCCTCTTGAATCTGACGAATCGTTCGCGACAACTCTTCGTCATAAAACTCGAGCGGGGACTTCGTCATGGTCTGCTTCGTGCAAGAAGGTGGAACAATGAGCTGCTCGTTGTGTCTCCTTTTTGAGACCCCCAAAACCAACGTTTTGGCTAAAAAAGCCAGGTTTACAAGACTGGAATGGCATCGACGGTCGGACGGCACTGTAACAGTCACAAACCATCAAATCCACGCCCAGGCGCGACGGTGGCACATGACCAGGGGACCAGGAATGGTGCCGGTGGCAAGCCTTACAAGCAACCTTTCATCATGCTACTAGCTACTACGAAGAACCCAGTCGGTACCCAGTACTCGAATAGCAGCATTACAACTCCCCTTCCCACACACAAGGGTCTTCTTTGATACTTCCCTTTCACAGCTTTTGGAATCAATCCAAGACAGCGTTCAGCGAGTGTCAATTGCCTTCAGATCCCATTCTCTCTGAAGATCCATTTTGGAAATAAATGCAATTCCAATGTCTGGACGATGCTGTTGGCAGCCAAACCCAACAATTAGTTCAGTACTATCTACTAGCTGCCTAGCAGGAGACTTGACAATGGATTTTCTCCTGGAAGTACTCAGCAGGGTTCCGAGTGTACCTGCTGTTTTGGAATCTGCCAGCATTCCCTGAAACGCTTGCTTTGCTTGCAAGAAATGTGGTAACTTTTCAGTTGCTGTTTCCCTTGCAACTCATCGGTGCTTGGGCTATTGTCGTACTTTTGAAATGTGGCTTTACAGCATGTTTGGTTGCAAGTGTTAAAATCTTTTCAGGCTAGACCATGTCAGGATGGTCATACCGGTACTGGCTGGGGTCGCTCGATGCTTGTATGCTGTATCCAGGCTCCAGGCTACCCATCGGCAATGTGGTGGCGCTTGGGAGGCTCACCACATCCAGCATCTCTGCCGGTCTTGGACCAGTGAGCGGGAACTTCAAGCCTTTTCCATTCTTCAAATCTTCGCTAGCATAATTTCTTCGTCGAAAGGTGTGCGAATCTGTTGAGGCGGATCAATCATGGCGTTTTTAAAGTTTTTGATTCGATTCGATTCATGGCAAAGAGTTTGGCCTACTAGTACAGCCCGAACTCCTGCCCTGCTATACGAGCCTCATTGGTGAACTGTGGATCAACTCTAGCTAACTCTAGATTGGTCCTTGTTGAGTTTTTCCAACTTGTATTCCATCCCGGTACAGTGTAGTGTACCGTTGCCACTGTGCAGGCATTTCACACACTATGAAGCACGGAAGCAAAATACCCGACAGTAACTTGAAAGGTGATGAATTGGTCACGCTTTTAAAAAACGCTTCCTGCCCATTGACTGTGAATTGACTTGCTTGGCAGGTGTACGGTACATACCGGTACGCTGGGACTTCACCCGGAACGACATACGATGTGAAGGGAAAGCATCCCAAACGAAATATTCTCCTAGCTGCGCTCTAACAAATTCTCCGAGGCCCTTGGCCAAAGCAACAACAACTCCAACCAGCTTCAATCGGAATCCAATCGATGCGTTCAAAAAGTCAGTGGATCACCACGTTCCCTGTGAACAACAGTGCCGTGTTCCCGCCAGACCTTGTCACATACATGTTGCCGCACGGTATGAATGATCAATCGTGGAATGCTTCATTAGAAAGAGTGCGTAGACAGTACTCCAGAGTAGACAGCTATCAAGCGATACTAGTAAGTAGTCTAAGAAAAGGCAAACGCCACGATCCTGAATGTTCTACTTCTCTTTTAAAAATGATAATACAAAGGATACTCTACTATAAAATCGGGAGGGTACTAGTAGCACGATCATTCTTCCCCCCACGCCAACACAAGTGGAAGAAAATAGTGCTGTTTTGGTCAAAAATGTGAGGCTTTGGAGGTTTCACTCCGCGTGGCGGAACGTTGCGTCCTAAACGAATTTGAACCTGAGGTTTTCGGAGGGACATCGTGTTGCCTCACAAATTGCCTCACTTTTCGTTCCATCAAAACTCATGCTACTCATGCTGTTCCTTTTTTGTGCCGTTTGTTTGTCAACATAGCTATACAAATATCATACAGTACGGTGGCATCTACACGTGTACCCACCATCATAAATTCAGTTAGTTTCAGATGTGCATGAATACCAAGGGATCAACGATGGACTGCAGCTCGAGTGGTGGTAATTCAATCCTAGACGACACTGCCAGTAGCGATAGCTATCTTGCTCATCACAGCTACCCCGATGACAGTGACGACTGCTGTATTGGCAAGAGTTCCAGTCTAGAGGATACCTTGAGCTTGACCTGTGATGAGTCTCTCGGTTCCAACTTGTCTTCCACCTTTGTGGCTGATGACGACGAGGATTCTTCAGACTGCGAGGACTATCCATCTCCCCACTTGTTAAGGAGACGGTTAATGCCAATACCTCCATCACCCATTGCAGGCTCTGGTTATGATACCCCCATACGCAACAAAAGCATCCCAGAAGCTCGTTTTGTATCGAGGAAGCGTCATTCTACACGGATACTTTGGTTGATGATAGTGCTGATTGTGTATGTCATACTGACAACGATCGACCATGGAGGAATGCTAGATGCTGCAAGGGATATTGGTATCAGCGATGAAGCAAGACAATGGAGACGCTTCTTTCGAAGACGAGCACCCAAATTACTTCACAAGATACCCAACCGAGCCTCAGGGCGATCCTACACCATTCGAATCAAGGGTCATAGATTAGATCTCGTTACCCAATCTTTGGACTATCACGCGCAATGCCCATCTGTTAAGGAGGTTCAAGTACTGTGGACGGACCCTACCACCAATCAACTTCCAAAGTCTATCAGCAATCATCAGAGCGGAAAGGTTCAGCCGCTGGGAAAGCCTTCAACCATGGCAGTATTCTTGCTGGATGAAGATATTAGAATTACTTGCGAAGAAATTGAGAGAGGTGAGTTCACAATGTCCAAGCGGAGTGAGACTGGTTGGGTAAGCCTCATGCGTTGAACCATGTGTTTTTTGTGCCGTAGCGTTCTCTGAGTGGCGAGAAGACCCTTCAAGACTAGTTGGGTTCTACCCATTTCAACATACATCAGAGGCCGATGATGGCGCCTCGCTGTTATCGCCTTACCCTGACTTTGGACTTCGCTCCGTGTCAAGAGCAACTGGGCCCTACTCCTTGGTATCCGATAGGGCTGTTTTTGTTCATAATTCCATCCTCCGTAGCCTACCTTCACTACCAACCGCATGCCAAGATCTGAGTCTGTCCATCATTGCATCGTCCATGACAAAGAAACCTCCCGTTGCAGTCTTATCCAATCCACATGCCATTCGACACTCCAAACGCAGCCCAGTGATATCCAATGATCAGAGTAGACGTTGCCACGAGTGGCTTTCATCCATTGGTGGCTTGACTCTACCAAGTCAAAAGGCTACAATCATTGGACATGAAAAGAGACGGCTGCAGGAAAATGAGCAATAGAGAGGAAAAGAGAACAACACGCTAGTCTATTCCTATTCACTAGCTAGCTAGTAATAATCACTGTCTCGAGCTATAACTTCCTCATGCTGTTGACTCGTCATTGCCAAACAACCGTGCATGTCATATCCGCTTCTAGTCGTGGCTGAATCCGCAAGGATGACATTGGGGGCAAGAAACTTATCCACGGAGACTCATGCCTCGAGCGAATCCGTCTTTTTTGCCACTTCCTTTGGACTGACGCTTATGCTTGCCCTTCTTCTTTGCCGATTTCGGCGTCGATGCTTCATCCATGACAAGGACAGAATTACTGGTTGGCCTTACCGACCGTACATCAGCGCCAGTCATGATCAGCCCTTTCAACCATGCGCCACACGCAACAGTATCGTCACTGACAACCAGGTTCAGCTTGTTTAGTCCAAAATCTTCGTACAGACACAAGCGTTCAATCTCGCGTCGGCTGGGAACGTGGATCGTCAGTGCGTAGACTCTGGCCACTCGATTTTCGCCTCCCCAATGCCCGCCGCCACCATCAACTGCAGCAAAGCCAGTTTCCGTGAAGAAACGAACCAACATCACTACGTAATCATCTCGGAAGGCTGCCATTCGGTCAATGATGCAGTTCTCTCCAACCATCAGCTTTGATATCGGATCCATTCCATCTTGAAGCGCATCGGGGAATCGAGAGTAAAATGTGATTGTAGACTTGTATTCCCTATTGGCAGCTCCATCCAACTGCCTGGTGAGACTATCGCCGACTACAACATCCGTAGGCGTCACAAGGATGGGTCTTTTGCCTTCCGACCTTGAATTCCAGCCTTCCTCCAATGCCACTTCTGTCTGACTCCATTCCACAGAACCAAGCGGAAAATTTCCCTCAATGTGGCCGCTATGATCGATTTCACAGCTCATGACAAGCGGTGCAAGTGCATGCGACACGGCAGCGACGGTGCAGGAGCTACGGGTACCGCCCCCAGGTATGGCCCTCCGGATGCATGCCAAAGTCATGTCCTCAAGTCTCGGCGGCAACGGAACATTCGGTGGATTGCTATCTCCCATCCAAACAATAGCACCAACACTTGAAGAGAACAAGAATAGCTTTCTGTCAAGTAGTAACACGCCATCTCCAAGGTTGTCGTCGTCGTTATCATTTTCATCGTCCGCGTTCATGGGAATGCTGATTGCCACCTCAACCATGAACCGACCATAGCCACACGCGGCCATACTCTGCGAAACAATGAACTCCACTTCATCCGAATCGCCTCCCAGTGCTAGGAAGTCATGAAGGCGCAGCAACCGATGATCTACGTGGTCCAAACTGAGGACGTAGTTCAAGACGGCCTCTTCCACATCAATCACTCTCAGTGATTCCGGCTCGTCCGAAGTACGCCCTGCAGTGTCACTGCTGGCGTCAACCACGAGGAGATCATCACGGCTCAGAATGACCAAGATGTGCGGAGTCTTGGTGTCACATGAATCATCCGAAACGCTGCACAAGCAACCAACAACGTCTTCGTCCAAGCCCATTGCTTCCATGAAACAGCTCTTCTTCTTTGTATGGGAGTAGGGATCTATACTGTGACACACCAGCTCGCGGCAAGATTTTTCTTGTTGGCTGCTGTGCCCTGCTGCGGAAATGTTCCGAGGAACCGCCTGAAAGAGCCGCAAAGTACAGTCGTTCGAGTAGGCAGCAAGGACCTGGTTGGGTCCCCATATCTCCACGGTGACACAGTTGTTGGGGGCTTGAGGCGCTCCTCTTCTGGTTGAGAATGCCTGAAAGGACATCTCACGCTCTTCTGTTGGTCTTCTAGTCAAGAGGCCTGTCATGGCTTGTTGGAGAGCTTTCATATCTCGGAGGACTGAGTAGTGTTTGATGAATTCATCTCGTAGAATACCAGAGGCACTTGCAGCTTGTTCCTGATCCTGCAAGCTCCCGTCGATCAGGTGACCCTCCAACGCATCCAACGGGAATGGCCAATCTCTCTGATTCAGTAGGTGTCTCCAAAGATTAGGCGATGCATGTCGAATTTCTCTGTGCCAAGATGTGCACACTTGTGCTGCTGATGCAACGGCTGGAGCCTCTAGATATTGAAATATGTGTTCCAGGATGGACACTGGCAAATGTTCAGCATTCAGCTTGTCATCAGCCTCAATAGATTCTCCAGTAGATCCGTCGCCAGACGACCCCAAGACGTCCACCGTAAATTCTTGAATGACCAGCCCTTCTCTATTTCGATCGTATAGCAAGATATTTCGAGATGGAGACGATATTGCCAAGTATACAATGCTTCCAATGCCAATTTGGTTGGAAGCAAGCTTTTCCGTGGTGAGGTCGCTGATTGTGTTTCGGGAAGACTCATCGCCGTCTTCGACAACCGTTCCAATGTTGGAGGGTATTGGAAGTAACAAGTAATACACCACTTCCATTCCTCCAGGGTCAGACTCCGTGATTTCTTGGGGGGTATTTGCTTCGCAGGCCTCTTCGGCTTGTGCTATTGCGTCCTTCTCTGTCTTGGGTCCTCCCTTTTGTTTATTGTCGACCAAGACAGCTGCCAAGGTCTTTAACTGCTTGTTGTTGTAGTGAGCACATCGACAACCTCCTTTCTTTCCAGGTTTTTGCACGTTCAGACATTTCCCATGAAAGAATTGAGATCTGCAAAGCACAGGTCCAGCCGATCTGGATTCTTCTTTCTCAGTTTCTGCCTCCTTGCTTCGGGGATGAACTTTCTTGCCATCTTGTTGAAAGGATCCCGAGCGACCTCTTCCTTTCTTTTTTCCCTTGTTGGTTGCTGCATTGCTGTCTTCAATGGAGGAAGATCGGGCTCGTCGGTTGGATTTGCCTGTACCACCCTCGTCTTCTTCCATCATCATGCTGTCCAGAAATGGAGGACTCTCGGAGGGCAATGAATCTACCCAAAGATGGAGTTTCCAGCAGCAACTCGTTGAACTTCCGCCTTCCGAAGCAGACGAGCTTCGTCGTATAGCGTCCATCTGCCGATCCAAAAGTGCTAACATTTCCTGTGCCTGTCCCTTGAAGATTCGTTTCTCCTCGGACCGATGTTTTCGCTGCTTGGCCTCTTTGCGCCGTGCATCGGCAGTTTCGACCCGTTTCTGCCAGTTTCCACGCACCATCTTGATCTACCGGTAGCTAGCTGATGGATCCTATAGTCGAAATCCGAAACTTATGCTGCTAAACTACGTATCTATTCTTGGCCGCTGATGGTACGGTACGCAGAGCTTCCACTTCGATGTTGTTGCCTGTGTGGGTCTGGCTGGGGTCATCTTTTTGGGTGGAGTGATTATTGTAGTAACACGTACCAACATCGTACCGGTACATGTATCTTTTAGCAGCTCCACGGGATTCGAATCAATTAATTCATATGCCCCCTGGGTCGTCTCCGTTTCCAGTACTTGTCTACTAATACAGGATAATGGTGAATAGAATCGAATGAATCATGTGGCTTATATTTAGGGTTTAGGTTTTGCAATTTTGAAGTCAACGTGTGTTAAGTGGAGGGTTGGCTCGCTTCCGCTGAAGTGCCATTGAAATTGCGTTCACCTTTTAAAAAACGCTTCCTGCCCATGACTGTAATTGACTTGCTTGGCAGTGTCGGTACCATCACCGGTACGCTGGACTTCACCGGAACGACATACGATAGTGAAGGGAAACCTCAAACGAAATATCTCTAGCTTGCGCTTTAACAAATTCTCCGAGGCCCTTGCCAAAGCAACAACAACTTTCCAACCAGCTTCAATGGAATCCAATCGATCGCTTCAAAAGTCAGTGGATCACCAGTTCCTGTGAACAACAGTGCCGTGTTCCCGCCAGACTTGTACATACATGTTGCCGCACGGTATGAATGATCAATCGTGGAATGCTTCATTAGAAAGAGTGCGTAGACAGTACTCCAGAGTAGACAGCTATCAAGCGATACTAGTAAGTAGTCTAAGAAAAGGCAAACGCCACGATCCTGAATGTTCTACTTCTCTTTTAAAAATGATAATACAAAGGATACTCTACTATAAAATCGGGAGGGTACTAGTAGCACGATCATTCTTCCCCCCACGCCAACACAAGTGGAAGAAAATAGTGCTGTTTTGGTCAAAAATGTGAGGCTTTGGAGGTTTCACTCCGCGTGGCGGAACGTTGCGTCCTAAACGAATTTGAACCTGAGGTTTTCGGAGGGACATCGTGTTGCCTCACAAATTGCCTCACTTTTCGTTCCATCAAAACTCATGCTACTCATGCTGTTCCTTTTTTGTGCCGTTTGTTTGTCAACATAGCTATACAAATATCATACAGTACGGTGGCATCTACACGTGTACCCACCATCATAAATTCAGTTAGTTTCAGATGTGCATGAATACCAAGGGATCAACGATGGACTGCAGCTCGAGTGGTGGTAATTCAATCCTAGACGACACTGCCAGTAGCGATAGCTATCTTGCTCATCACAGCTACCCCGATGACAGTGACGACTGCTGTATTGGCAAGAGTTCCAGTCTAGAGGATACCTTGAGCTTGACCTGTGATGAGTCTCTCGGTTCCAACTTGTCTTCCACCTTTGTGGCTGATGACGACGAGGATTCTTCAGACTGCGAGGACTATCCATCTCCCCACTTGTTAAGGAGACGGTTAATGCCAATACCTCCATCACCCATTGCAGGCTCTGGTTATGATACCCCCATACGCAACAAAAGCATCCCAGAAGCTCGTTTTGTATCGAGGAAGCGTCATTCTACACGGATACTTTGGTTGATGATAGTGCTGATTGTGTATGTCATACTGACAACGATCGACCATGGAGGAATGCTAGATGCTGCAAGGGATATTGGTATCAGCGATGAAGCAAGACAATGGAGACGCTTCTTTCGAAGACGAGCACCCAAATTACTTCACAAGATACCCAACCGAGCCTCAGGGCGATCCTACACCATTCGAATCAAGGGTCATAGATTAGATCTCGTTACCCAATCTTTGGACTATCACGCGCAATGCCCATCTGTTAAGGAGGTTCAAGTACTGTGGACGGACCCTACCACCAATCAACTTCCAAAGTCTATCAGCAATCATCAGAGCGGAAAGGTTCAGCCGCTGGGAAAGCCTTCAACCATGGCAGTATTCTTGCTGGATGAAGATATTAGAATTACTTGCGAAGAAATTGAGAGAGGTGAGTTCACAATGTCCAAGCGGAGTGAGACTGGTTGGGTAAGCCTCATGCGTTGAACCATGTGTTTTTTGTGCCGTAGCGTTCTCTGAGTGGCGAGAAGACCCTTCAAGACTAGTTGGGTTCTACCCATTTCAACATACATCAGAGGCCGATGATGGCGCCTCGCTGTTATCGCCTTACCCTGACTTTGGACTTCGCTCCGTGTCAAGAGCAACTGGGCCCTACTCCTTGGTATCCGATAGGGCTGTTTTTGTTCATAATTCCATCCTCCGTAGCCTACCTTCACTACCAACCGCATGCCAAGATCTGAGTCTGTCCATCATTGCATCGTCCATGACAAAGAAACCTCCCGTTGCAGTCTTATCCAATCCACATGCCATTCGACACTCCAAACGCAGCCCAGTGATATCCAATGATCAGAGTAGACGTTGCCACGAGTGGCTTTCATCCATTGGTGGCTTGACTCTACCAAGTCAAAAGGCTACAATCATTGGACATGAAAAGAGACGGCTGCAGGAAAATGAGCAATAGAGAGGAAAAGAGAACACACGCTAGTCTATTCCTATTCACAGCTAGCTAGTAATAATCACTGTCTCAGCTATAACTTCCTCATGCTGTTGACTCGTCATTGCCAAACAACCGTGCATGTCATATCCGCTTCTAGTCGTGGCTGAATCCGCAAGGATGACATTGGGGGCAAGAAACTTATCCACGGAGACTCATGCCTCGAGCGAATCCGTCTTTTTTGCCACTTCCTTTGGACTGACGCTTATGCTTGCCCTTCTTCTTTGCCGATTTCGGCGTCGATGCTTCATCCATGACAAGGACAGAATTACTGGTTGGCCTTACCGACCGTACATCAGCGCCAGTCATGATCAGCCCTTTCAACCATGCGCCACACGCAACAGTATCGTCACTGACAACCAGGTTCAGCTTGTTTAGTCCAAAATCTTCGTACAGACACAAGCGTTCAATCTCGCGTCGGCTGGGAACGTGGATCGTCAGTGCGTAGACTCTGGCCACTCGATTTTCGCCTCCCCAATGCCCGCCGCCACCATCAACTGCAGCAAAGCCAGTTTCCGTGAAGAAACGAACCAACATCACTACGTAATCATCTCGGAAGGCTGCCATTCGGTCAATGATGCAGTTCTCTCCAACCATCAGCTTTGATATCGGATCCATTCCATCTTGAAGCGCATCGGGGAATCGAGAGTAAAATGTGATTGTAGACTTGTATTCCCTATTGGCAGCTCCATCCAACTGCCTGGTGAGACTATCGCCGACTACAACATCCGTAGGCGTCACAAGGATGGGTCTTTTGCCTTCCGACCTTGAATTCCAGCCTTCCTCCAATGCCACTTCTGTCTGACTCCATTCCACAGAACCAAGCGGAAAATTTCCCTCAATGTGGCCGCTATGATCGATTTCACAGCTCATACAAGCGGTGCAAGTGCATGCGACACGGCAGCGACGGTGCAGGAGCTACGGGTACCGCCCCCAGGTATGGCCCTCCGGATGCATGCCAAAGTCATGTCCTCAAGTCTCGGCGGCAACGGAACATTCGGTGGATTGCTATCTCCCATCCAAACAATAGCACCAACACTTGAAGAGAACAAGAATAGCTTTCTGTCAAGTAGTAACACGCCATCTCCAAGGTTGTCGTCGTCGTTATCATTTTCATCGTCCGCGTTCATGGGAATGCTGATTGCCACCTCAACCATGAACCGACCATAGCCACACGCGGCCATACTCTGCGAAACAATGAACTCCACTTCATCCGAATCGCCTCCCAGTGCTAGGAAGTCATGAAGGCGCAGCAACCGATGATCTACGTGGTCCAAACTGAGGACGTAGTTCAAGACGGCCTCTTCCACATCAATCACTCTCAGTGATTCCGGCTCGTCCGAAGTACGCCCTGCAGTGTCACTGCTGGCGTCAACCACGAGGAGATCATCACGGCTCAGAATGACCAAGATGTGCGGAGTCTTGGTGTCACATGAATCATCCGAAACGCTGCACAAGCAACCAACAACGTCTTCGTCCAAGCCCATTGCTTCCATGAAACAGCTCTTCTTCTTTGTATGGGAGTAGGGATCTATACTGTGACACACCAGCTCGCGGCAAGATTTTTCTTGTTGGCTGCTGTGCCCTGCTGCGGAAATGTTCCGAGGAACCGCCTGAAAGAGCCGCAAAGTACAGTCGTTCGAGTAGGCAGCAAGGACCTGGTTGGGTCCCCATATCTCCACGGTGACACAGTTGTTGGGGGTTGAGGCGCTCCTCTTCTGGTTGAGAATGCCTGAAAGGACATCTCACGCTCTTCTGTTGGTCTTCTAGTCAAGAGGCCTGTCATGGCTTGTTGGAGAGCTTTCATATCTCGGAGGACTGAGTAGTGTTTGATGAATTCATCTCGTAGAATACCAGAGGCACTTGCAGCTTGTTCCTGATCCTGCAAGCTCCCGTCGATCAGGTGACCCTCCAACGCATCCAACGGGAATGGCCAATCTCTCTGATTCAGTAGGTGTCTCCAAAGATTAGGCGATGCATGTCGAATTTCTCTGTGCCAAGATGTGCACACTTGTGCTGCTGATGCAACGGCTGGAGCCTCTAGATATTGAAATATGTGTTCCAGGATGGACACTGGCAAATGTTCAGCATTCAGCTTGTCATCAGCCTCAATAGATTCTCCAGTAGATCCGTCGCCAGACGACCCCAAGACGTCCACCGTAAATTCTTGAATGACCAGCCCTTCTCTATTTCGATCGTATAGCAAGATATTTCGAGATGGAGACGATATTGCCAAGTATACAATGCTTCCAATGCCAATTTGGTTGGAAGCAAGCTTTTCCGTGGTGAGGTCGCTGATTGTGTTTCGGGAAGACTCATCGCCGTCTTCGACAACCGTTCCAATGTTGGAGGGTATTGGAAGTAACAAGTAATACACCACTTCCATTCCTCCAGGGTCAGACTCCGTGATTTCTTGGGGGGTATTTGCTTCGCAGGCCTCTTCGGCTTGTGCTATTGCGTCCTTCTCTGTCTTGGGTCCTCCCTTTTGTTTATTGTCGACCAAGACAGCTGCCAAGGTCTTTAACTGCTTGTTGTTGTAGTGAGCACATCGACAACCTCCTTTCTTTCCAGGTTTTTGCACGTTCAGACATTTCCCATGAAAGAATTGAGATCTGCAAAGCACAGGTCCAGCCGATCTGGATTCTTCTTTCTCAGTTTCTGCCTCCTTGCTTCGGGGATGAACTTTCTTGCCATCTTGTTGAAAGGATCCCGAGCGACCTCTTCCTTTCTTTTTCCCTTGTTGGTTGCTGCATTGCTGTCTTCAATGGAGGAAGATCGGGCTCGTCGGTTGGATTTGCCTGTACCACCCTCGTCTTCTTCCATCATCATGCTGTCCAGAAATGGAGGACTCTCGGAGGGCAATGAATCTACCCAAAGATGGAGTTTCCAGCAGCAACTCGTTGAACTTCCGCCTTCCGAAGCAGACGAGCTTCGTCGTATAGCGTCCATCTGCCGATCCAAAAGTGCTAACATTTCCTGTGCCTGTCCCTTGAAGATTCGTTTCTCCTCGGACCGATGTTTTCGCTGCTTGGCCTCTTTGCGCCGTGCATCGGCAGTTTCGACCCGTTTCTGCCAGTTTCCACGCACCATCTTGATCTACCGGTAGCTAGCTGATGGATCCTATGTCGAAATCCGAAACTTATGCTGCTAAACTACGTATCTATTCTTGGCCGCTGATGGTACGGTACGCAGAGCTTCCACTTCGATGTTGTTGCCTGTGTGGGTCTGGCTGGGGTCATCTTTTTGGTGGAGTGATTATTGTAGTAACACGTACCAACATCGTACCGGTACATGTATCTTTTAGCAGCTCCACGGGATTCGAATCAATTAATTCATATGCCCCCTGGTCGTCTCCGTTTCCAGTACTTGTTCTACTAATACAGGATAATGGTGAAAGAATCGAATGAATCATGTGGCTTATATTTAGGTTTAGGTTTTGCAATTTTGAAGTCAACGTGTGTTAAGGGAGGGTTGGCTCGCTTCGCTGGGAGCTTGGCGTCTTTTTTTCCTCTGCTTCCCGTCTTCGTCGGAACTGGGGTATTCGGTAATAGGATCGTGAGCAAGTTCGGCAGCTTTCTTCATACCTTGTGAGTGTCATCATTCTACTATTCGCAGTGATACTTTGGCCGACGTGTTCGTGGAACAGGTGGGACGGAGATGACGTATTTGGTTCATTGGAACTGGGATTGGTTTGCAATAATATTGGGAGGTCCGTATTGAGGTTTGAAAGTGAGGGCACGGGGATTTATACGGTAAGCTACTGTAGGAGACTTACCACCGTTCTCCTTGGTGCTTTTCCAGAAGAGTTCCAAAGAAGGCCCAAAGTTCATGCCGGGGGTAGTTCAAAACCATGGGGAAGGGCCGTGTGGCAGCTTGAAGGCGAACTGTGGAGTAGAGGTGGGGGGATGTGTGCTGCGTAGTGGCTGTAATAATGTTGCGACGGCACCAGTGATGGCCCGCAAGCGACCGAAGTCCGATGCACCAAGGTTGTTTCGGTGAAAACAACGACGTAAGACGTGAAGCCGGAGTTGACAGGACCTGAAGCCGACCCTTTTCAAGCTGCCCCACTGGCCCTTCCCCATGTTTTTGAACTACCCCCCGGCATTAACTTTGAGGCCTTCTTGTGAACTCTTCTGGAAAAGCCCCAGCAGGAGAACGGTGGTAAGTCTCCTACAGAAGCTTACCGTATAAATCCCCCGTGCCCTCACTTTCAAATCCTCAATACTTGACCTCCCAATATTATTCGCAAACCAATCACAGTTCCAATGCAACCAAAAACGTCATCTCCCGTCCCAACTGTTCCACGAACCACGAACCACGAACCACGTCGGCCAAAGTATCACCTGCGAATAGTCAGAATGATGACACTCAACAAGGTATGAAGAAAGATGCCGAACTTGCTCACGATCCTATTACCGAATACCCAGTTCCGACGAAGAACGGGAAGCAGAGGAAAAAAAAGACGCCAAGCTCC